GCGCTTTCATGTAGCCCGTTCCGCACCCAATTCCCGCTGCCCCCCGCCCGCTCCGGCATGCCAGCATGCCCCGTACATCTTCCTGCAACTATTTTCAGTCGTGTCTGACACACTTTGGCAGCAATGAGGCATCCACACATTTGTTTACAATACGCGCATCTTCTGCTGAGCTACTTCGGACACGCACACACATCCTCCCCCTTACCCCACACTGCCACTCCCACTCCCGTTGCCGCCCATTTGTTTGTCTTTGGGCACTTTGATGGATTATATGCGGGGTGTCTATTGAACGGAATTCTTGGCCATAAGTAGATTCTTTGTGGCCTGACAGCAAGTGGCAAAGAAACGGAGAGCAGCCAAGTTGCCCCCTGTTCCCTGTGCCCAACCCCCCCGCCCTTGCCCCCTGTGGCATCCATTTGTTAATCAAATTATTTGTATTCCTTGAACCTTGAAGTAATCTCCAATCTAATGTCTTCTGCTAAACTAAACATATCCATTCATTAGTTTATGTGCCCAAGCATCATTCAAATATCGATCTGCTGGCGAAACTTGGAACTGAACGTAAAACAACATAAATTACAAAGTTTTGAGCCATTAAAACAATTTTATTGAACAGCCAGCAATAGCATATATCAAGCATTTCAGAAGTACGCAAATTTATATCCCATGCTGAGAAAAATTTATTTGGCTTTCAATTTCAGGAAATATCTAGCTACAAAATTGGAGAACTTTAAAATTAAGAGATCTGTTTGGAGAACCAAAAAACAAAATCGGAAGAAAACAAAAATTAAATTCGAAACAACTCCTTGCCTTGAAGTTAGGTTCATGAACTGGCACCCAGACTTTGGTTCACGCTAATGGCTAATCATATATAGCATCATTTTCAAATTGTACAACAAATTTGTATATATTTTCGAAAGAAAAATATGGTCTAAAATTGATCTCTACCCAAAATTGGCATCTACCACACATGGCTAGATATATATCCAATTGTGGGGACCAATATTATTTATGCTTTGGGTCTGGATCTCATTTAAAAGTTTCTTTACTTGTCTCGAGCACTTTGAATCGTTTCTTTCTTTTCCCATTACATAAATTATGTGTATTTTTTAACACTTCTAAAGATTTTTATGCAATTTTTCTTTGAATATGATTGAGTTTTAAATATGATATGTTAATTCTTTTTTTGGAAGTAATATGTGCCATAAGATGAATAATTACTGGACTTATAATCAAATGAATAGTTCTGTGGCAAGCCGAGTTTCGAACCCAAGCCTGGATTCATAAGCCGGCTCACGAACCAAACTTCAAGGTAACTTGCCCCTCATCTACGCGATCCATAGCAATATTTTCTCTAATGCCAACAAATTTCCGGGAACTACCTAATGTTCCACAGAAGCTGACCTTTAAAATATGTTCGCCTGTGCGAAGGCAATTGAATGTGGTTCCGTTTGCATGCGTGAAAGAAGTACTTACGTTTGCAGCGTTGCAAGATTTGTGGCGGAGGCGCCAACGCCGCATGCCGTGGAATGCATTTGCCAGAAATTGTTGTTGTTTTTGTTCTGCCACCGATACGCTAAGTGCGCTGCCGTTGCAGTTGCAAATTCAATGAATTCGCAACAGCTGTATGCACAGATTTCGCGCTAAATGTTGCAAATGTTTATGCCAAAACACGCAGAATTAAGAAAACAAAAAAAAAATGCAAAAAATAACACAAAATAACAACAACCCGCACGCACACTCCAAAACAAGAAGAAGAAGAAAAAGAGGCGCGGACCGGCGGGCACAGAGCAGGAAGAAATGCGAAGCTGAAGATGAAGCGAACTGCGTTATAATACGGTATCGGCTTGACGTATGGCTGAGGAGTTTGCCGATGCAGGAGGGGGGGGGCCAGCTTTGGCCAGTGCTTGGCTTCAATTAAAGTTACAATTGCAGTTACAGTTACAGTTACAGTTGGAGTTTAAGGTTTGTGGTTATGCGTATTCACAGCTCGGCGCACGACGTTCAATGTCTGACTGAATTTCCATTTCCGCTGAGGATGCTCCGAGACCACCAAACGTCAGCAGCGACGGCGGCGGTGGCGGTGGCGGCGGCAGCGCAGCTGCTGAAGCAACGGCACCAGCGTCAGCGATGGCTACTCCCATCGACACACACACACACACACACATATATATATATATATCCTCCCACGTGGCTGAATGTCGTTGTTGTTGTTGTTGTGCTTGATATTGCTTAGCATAAACATACAAAAAAACGAAGGAAATTAAATGCCGCTGCGCTCTGCTCATGTGTTGGCGTTTGCCTGTGAGTGTGTGTGTGTGTGTGTGTGTGTGTGTGTGTGTGTGTATGGGCAATGAATTTTAAACACACACACAAACGCACACTTAGCAATGCATGTCATTGTGTTCACGTTTTTAAAGCAGTTGAAATATCAAATCAAAGAACATAAACTAAAGTCAGCAGCGATCGAAAAATGCGCTACGTGGCGTATGGGTAATATGTGTTAAGTACACTGGATGATTGATTAAAGCTTAAACCAAACTAAAAACAAGCCCATTACAATTCTTTTCAATTTATTCCCAATTTACAGAAAAAGAGTGAATGTAAAAATATTCTACAAATAATATGAAAGAATTGCGAAAACTTTAAGTTTAAATATAACAAACATAAAAAAACATGCGATTAAATTTTGAAACATCAAATTGAAATCAGATTAAAATATATGTCAAAATAAGCTAAGATCAACGTAGAACTGTTGATTGCAACTCGATTTTACGATTACGTATGTATGTGGGTGTGTTTGTGCGTGTGTGTATGTGTGGGTGCACCTTTGCTTGTACAGTTATATGCATATATGGAGATATGGGTGCATGCATGTTATACCTAATGTAAATTGAAAACAAAAGAAAAAAAAACTATTAAAATGCCCTACTATGCGATTCTCATGAACTCAAGTAAGCACCTCAGTTTTTAGCTGTTGATTATGTGTATTGTATTGTGTTAACAATCTCTGGTGGCAATATTATCTTTTTAATCACTGCTTCCACCTTAACTTTACTGTGCTCTTTGCAGTCTATCTCTCCCTTTTGTTCACCCCCCCCCCCCCTGCCCCAGCTTCTTTGACTGATATGTAAGACTATTTACGTCAATTTTTTTGTAGGGTATGCAAATAAATATTAAGGAAATTCACATCTGGACACAAATTAGCTTCTAGTGTTTTATATATAAAGAGAATTTATTCAAAATCTTCACCAAACGAATGCTCCAATTTTGCATTATAATTTTTGGTGCTATATTTTTTTTTATTCGGTAGAGCATCTGGCAAGCGTCGACAAATGTTGTCTCGTGCCCGGCTGCTGGTCACGTCAATAGTCCATTCCAGAGTTCTTCCACCACATGTCGTTGTTGTTGTTGCCGCTGTTGTTGTTGTTGTTGTTGTACTGCTGGATGCTGTGGTGTGAATGAATCACAGCCAACAAAAATATAAAACAGGGCAAAAACTACATAAAACGAATGTGTAAAAGGCCAGCTAACACACACACACACACACACACAAACGCACAACTACAAGCGTTTAGGCCTGGCCGTTGCCACGCAACTTGTTTGTTTACAATCGCAGCATCTCCACACCGCAACCTCCCTCCTGATCTGCTTCCCGATCGCATATACGCCGACTATGACGATGGGGCCCGCCGCTAAACTGGGCGCGATATGAGATTTTCCAGCTGGCATCCAATAAAGCGCAGCGGAAAAGCAAACAGAAACTATGCCTATGGCCAGGTTCCATGCATGTCTGTGTGAGTGAGTATCCGTGTGTGTGAGTGTGTACGCATAACAGACGCATTTCCATGGAGCCAAGTGGCTGACACTTGGCCACTTGACATTGACGGGGCGACTTGTGACACTTGCTCCCCAACGCCCTTAGACGAGCTTGTGCTATAAAACTTCGCATTGTTAAGTGCTAATGTGTGTGTGTGTGTGTGTGTGTGTGTGTGTGTGTGAATGTATCTCATAGTTACAGAAACGAAACGCACTTTGCCACCAAGTAGCCGGGCGCAGTGACATCAGTGCGACGTTTTTAGCCAACGCAACGTTGCCATTTTCGGCTTCGGGCCCCCTAGACAAACATTCGATAGATAACCGACAAAATTTCTATCCATTAATTTACAACTGGCACACATAGCCAAAAAATAAATAAAACACAAAAAACCAATGCAATTACCAAGAAAACCGAACTATAAATACGCTCTCGACAATCTGAACAATAAGAGAAATTCAATATTTAACACTCGAATAAAGTCCGCCTGGGTTTGTCACGAAATGTGAAACGCATCGGAGGCCAAGTCTCCGGCACCATAAGACAAGGTAAAAAATTATTAAAATTAAATATTCTTGATGCCGGTTCAAGCCCAGTAGTTATAGATCCGTTTGTCTGATTCTCAATCTCAATCTATGAATCTATGCATAGATTCGACTCTTCATGACAGCCAATATATACCAAATCGAGCTTCTTTACCATAAGGCCTCTACAGGCACAAGTGGTCCGATATGCATCTTTTGCATAAAAGCCTTTATATGTCATATGAGAAAAAGGGTAGTTAATATTCCTATGAAGTTCGGGGTTTCCTCTTCTTATTTTCTTTATTATTATTACTATCAGCATTATCATTATTATTACTGTTATTATTATTATTATTATTATTATTATTATTATTATTATTATTTTCATTATTATTATTATTATTATTATTATTATTATTATTATTATTATTATTATTATTATTATTATTATTATTATCATTATCATTATTGTTATTATTATCATTATTGTTATTATTATTATTAGTATTGCTCTTATTATTATTTGCATTATGAATTTACATCATTTATATTGAGTTACGAACCAAACGACAAAGTGTACTTGCTCTCTCTTTCTCTCTCTCTCTCTGTCTCTCTTTCTCTCTTTCTCTCTCTCTCTCTCGCTCGCTGGCAAATGGCTAACAAATTGCTGGCCTAGAGAAACTTTTTTAATTGTCTGTGATTTTGGATTTTTGTTGTTATGTTTATAGAGTAAACCCATTGAAATTGAAGTCGCGTGGTGATTAGCGATTAGCGCCATTTGATAGCCGACATCAATAGTCAGCAAGGGGCGCAGCGCTTCCGGTGGCCAGTTGCCCCTTTGCCCGTCTGCGCCCACGGTCAACTTCAGCTAATGGAGCCGTTCATTGGCCTCTTCGTGCTGCCTTGGTTTATTTATTCAGCTTGAGGCCACGTCCGTTGCATTTTAAGGGCCATAAAACAATGCATAAGCAACAACAACAACAACAACAAAGACTACATCCTAATCCAAATAGGGATAGACGAGCGGATCGCGGGAGGCGCGCAACGTTTGCCAAAGACTTTGCTTGATTTTGCCCTCCGTAACTTTGGTGCCCGCCTTCAGCTGGCTGTACGGCGGAGGCGGACGCTGGCGCTGCTGGAGGCGTCGTCGCTGGCGCCCCGAGCTCAGCCAAAGCAGCTCCGCCTGCCTGCGCCGACGTCGCTGCTGGAGCGTACGGGAGGCGCAATAGGGTCGCATCGTCACATAGTAGAAGATCTCAATGACAGAGAAAATGCTGAAGCCCATGAACAGGCCCAACAGGCCGCCAGTGTTGGCTGCAAAGGGAATGACTTAAAAAAGGGAGAACACTTGGGGAGCTGCATCTAGACTCACACAGAAACTCGGTGAAGCCGAACATCTCGGATTTGGTGGTGCTGCGAAAGTTGTTGTTGAGATAGTAAAAATGTAGTATGGATAGATCGTAGTCCTCGCCAATGTGGCTAACATTGAACAGCTTCTCGGGCAGCTCCTCGCCGCTCTGATAGCTCGGCCCGGCGACAATCGTCGAGCTGGTCATAATCGACTTGTAGGTCAGCTCAAAGCAGCCGGGCCAACAGTTCTCGCAGGACAGATTCGTTTTCGATGACTCAATCTCGGTCTGTATGCGATTGGTGCAGTTGTTGTCATTGGGCCCGCAGACGCGCGCCGCCGGGTCAATCCGCGGCAAATAGTAGAGCACACAGCTGCAGTCGCGCAGCAGCAGCTTCGCCTCGCACTCCAGCTCGCAGTTCTTGCGCGAATAGGTGCGATAATAGGCCAGGTCGTTCTCATCCGAGAACAGGCAGCGACGCACCGTTTTCTTGATCGAACGTATGCTGGGCGTGGCATCCTCATAGACCGGCTCGATGGGTATGCGTGCCTCGCGGCCAGCACTGACCACAAACCCAAAGTTGCTCACCTTGGGCAGCTCAGCGGGATTATGCACCAGCACCTACAGCCGGAAAAGGAGAGAGAGAAAGAGAGAGAGAGAGTTCTTAATCATTTCTCAATTGCATAGAACTCTTTGACCTTGAAGCCATTGCCCATGGACTTGGTGCAGTAATATTCCGCCGTTGAGGCATTCAACACGACGGTCAGTCCCATGCGACTGCCCGTGCCGCCGGACGTTCTGGGATAATAATATTCCGGCAATTTCTTAGCATAGCCCAGTTCCGGCGTCCAATCGATGGGCTCGTATAGGGAATTCTCCGCCGCCGGCTCGATGCGCACATCGTCCGTATAGTTGCGAAACAAATAGATGGGATCTAGCGCATTGAACGTGCAGCACAGCCCGTCATCGGTCAATATCGAATTGAAGATCATCGGGCAGCTCTCCTTGCGCGCCCCAAAGCTGCAGTGCAGCAGCATCTCATCGCACGGCTGCGCAACCTCAACCAGCAGCGCCTTAAAGTATGTCCAGGTGCCGGTGTACGTGATCTTCTGATCGTCGCCCTTGCTGCACAAACTCATCAGCAGCGAGTAATTTCCGCTGGTGCTATGAACAGAAAGCGAACAAAAGAAGTCTATTCATAGTTGTCTGAAGAGCTTTTCCGTCACAAAAAAAAAAACCCCCGATGCCTTATCTCATTTGAAATGGAATTCTTACTCATGGGCTGAGAACTTTAATCTCCTCAAATGAAAGACTCGAATATAAGTATTACATGACTTCTTTTCGTACTGTTCTTCTGTCTTCCTTAAATTAAACTCCTATTTTTGTAATTTCTTTCCTTATGATATTTTTGTTATTTTTCTTTCTTAAGCATCCTAAGCTGAAATTTTCTATAGCATATTTGTACTTTCCATTTTTATAAGCATCCTTCACTAAAATTCTTAAATCCTTAACTGAAATTCCTACATATTAACGCATTTTTGCGTTTCTTCTTAACTCTTGACTCCTTAACTGAAATTATTCAACATATTACGACATTTTTGTACTTTCTCTATTCTTTACAACATTTTTGCACCCTTGCTTCCTTATGTCATCCTTAACTGAAACTCTTCGGAAAATATGCTACCCGAAATGTTATTGCTGAAATGTTATTGCTGCTGTTACTCACCGTGAGATGCGCTGGACGCGACTGCGGAGAGCCAGGTTAAGATTGCATATGGTTATGGCCGGAAAGGGAATGTTGCTGGTCAGCTGCTGCTTGGCGCTTGTCGAGATGATGATGGGCGAGGCGCTCCACTTGATATAAATGTTGGAAATGAAGAAGCCCGAGAGGATGACGACAAGCACAAATGATATGCCAAAGAAGACTCTGCCATTGAATTTTAACAAAAAAAAAAATATCTACATATAGATAAGAGTTTAACTCAGCAGTGCAAACTTTTCAAAGTTCTATATAAAAGGTCGTGTAAGGCGCGGTGCTCAAGGTAGTACGGGTAGTTTGAGTTCGTAAACCATTGTCGAAAATCGAAGAAAATACCGGTCAAGGCCGGGTAATACCAAACACGACTCGATTTCTGGGTGTCCGTGTGTGTGAGTGTGTCTGTGTGTGCGCGTGAGTAGCACACATAGCAACTTTTGCCCGCTGCGCCGCAAATTACAGTAAACATATTTTTAGGTATCGCCCTACTATGCGAATCTCAAAAACTCAAGTTAGCCTCACACATTTCGTGCTTTGTGTATACTTTTTTTTTGCAAGTCACATCCCACCTAATTCAATTACCTCTTGTCTATCTCAGTTAGTTATTCTCTCCTTCTCTACCCTCTGTCTTTCTCTCTCTCTCTCTCTCTCTCTTTGTCTTTCTCCTGCTCTTGCTCTCACTATTTACCTGTCTACGTATTTTGATTTTATCAGGGAGGTGTACCTAGGAAAGGCTGCTTGGAGATGCCATCTAGCGAATGGTTTTTGTCGAGTTGCTTGGCTGACTAAGTACACATATTTATAACATAAATTAATATAATATCAGATTGGACGTACCGCTCTGGTATGGTAATCCGTTCTTCGGCTATATACTTGAGTCCATGCAAGGAGCTGTTTCGCAGATAATACTTGATGCTCTTCTTGGCCGCCTCGAGGCTGCACATCGTTTGCTCATCATCAAGGGAGTCATCACTGTGACTATGACTGTGACTGCGATTGTGAACGTGAGCGTGACCGTGCACGGGTTGCTGCCTGTTTGCCGCCAGGTGGGGCTTTTGTGCTCTGCTATCCCCATAGAATCTCATGATGCGACTAACCGCACGGCCCGTCACGCAAGTCCCATTTATACGAGCTGCTCGCACAGTTCGATCCAATCGCAGCTCATCAGCTTTAATCATATTGACCCTTGGCAAATACCAAAACAGCGATAACTCCACCAAATTGAATTGCGACAGTGGCCACGGCAAATGCCGCTTAATGCACATTGCCCAAACTGTGCGTGGGCGTGGCAGGCGACTGCAGCAGTGTTTGCCGAATGCAAAAAGGCTTCACCGAGCGGGGCGAACTATGCAAATGCGTACAACTTTCGCACAGGTGGCAAATGCAGCGCCTGCCAGCTCCCAGCTCCGCGCTCCCCGTTCCCGTCTCCAGTGGCCACGTTCACATGGTGCCTGCAGCTCTCTATAAAAATAGCGGAGGGCGTAAAATACGAGTACATTGTATAAACAAAAACAAAAAAAAAAACCAAGACGAAAAACAACAACGGAACAAAAAATACACAAAACTTAAAACGAAACAAGTTCACATTTTGCAGTCGGGTGCAACCAACTGCGGCATGCTCATCAAATTTATTTAAAGATATATCCACTTTTCGGTTTGCCACGCCCTCCATTTTATAATTGATCTTTGGAAGAAGTTCCCCATAGTCTTTATTCCAAAGATGGTCAACCTAGCTTGAAAACCGCGGCATATGCAGAGATCCTTAGAGTTCTACCAGCAAATGCCTGGCTAAAACTTTCTATATAGATGAAAGATGATCGGGCGGACTTTGCAGAAAACTAATATACGCCTTTCACTCCTTGAGCGGGTATGAAAACTCAAAGGCACACTGTGGACATAATTTATGGCCTTTAAGAACGGCATTCGCTTATAGATGAACGGATTGGGCAGAGAAATAATCTGGTAGCAAAACTATATGCGAAATCAAATAAATTGTGATCGGCTTTATTTTTGGGCATGGAACCCATGGAACGCGTTGTTTTCTCAATACTTTTAAATGAAAACCAAAACAAATTTTTATATGACATCACAAGTCGCTTATGGATTTTCGTAAAGATTTTCGGAAATTTTTAGCAATCCGAAGCTACGCCCATTTCGCCCTTTTTGAACACCAACAAGAGTTCTATTTTCCGAAAAGTGTGTATAAAACATCACAAATAAATTTTTAAAACATTACTGGAAATGGGTTACAAACCGATCGAGTGGTAAACTAGATTTCTTACAACCGTTTCCACCTATTTTCCACTATGGAATTGTACAAATCGACATCTTAGTTAATGCCCAAACGGTGGATTAGGACAGGTATATATGGCAACAGAATACTTCCACAGCGTGCCAACGCTTGTCGTATGAGGCGACTAGGTTCTTCCCCTACCGGACTTCTGGCCAAAACTGTTGCCGACACCTTATGTACGACAGAACTTTCCTAGATCTCTTAATACCATGTTTAACTAGTTCCAAGACTGCTCTCATCGGAGCAAGCCCCGTTAGGCAACCATTTGATATGAGTACGATTTGAGATGCCCTATCCTCTCGTTGGGAGACCATAGAAGATTGTAACAAAATCAAAATATGTTGAAGAACAGATCAGGATTTATATAAGAAGCGATTCTTGCAATAGATATGTACGATATGATGTAGATAGGATGCTGCCCATATGTCAGGAACATGGTAAAACTAGAAAATGTTAACTTGGCATTAGACAAGATTTTTAGGAAAAAAAAAATAATGTTAAAATACCCTTGCAAAGTCAAGTTTTAATGTCTCCTGTGCATTTCGTATTCGTGCAAATTAAATTTTATAAGACTCATATATCCGCTCTCCTCTAAAGCATAAAACTGCCATCTGCAGCTTTAACTTTTCTTTCTAGAAACAGATTTCAATTATGGATTAAATGAGAAGACTTCAATGGAGCTGCATTTCATGCTTCGATTTTTGTTATATTACAATTCATTCTCTTCACATTTGTAAACAATGGAATATATATATATATATAAATATAAATACTATGTGTAAAACTGAGTAAATAAAATTGTTTTAAAATGTGTGTGTGTGTGTGTGTATAATTAGCTAGTTGCTGTTAAATTGAAAGAAATCAACATTGAGATCCAAAATAGCCGCATTGGGCGTCTCCTTCATGCTGAGCGCCTCGACGGCATTGTCGCTGGCATGATCGTAATGTGGCAGCATTGCGCCCGCCACATGGCCAACGTTGGGCGGCGCCACAGCCACCGGTGGCTGCATAAGATCGCCAACGTTGCGCAACAGGCTTTCCTCGGATGGTGGCAGCAACTTGCCGCCAGCGGACAGATTTAAACGTTGAGCAGCTTCATCGGTCAGCGTGTCGTCGAGGGACATGCTCAAGCCCGGATAATCAACCAGATTGCGTGCGCTTGGCACAGTGCTGGCATGCAACAGTTGCTGCAATTCCGGTTCCGGTGTGGGCGCCTGCGCCGATTCCATTGCCGACATATCCAGCGCATACTGACCCTCGGGTATGCCCAGCACGCGTGCAATCCGTGCATTCACAAAATGCAGACCGGATGTGTTGCGTATGAGCCGCGTGCTGCGCAAATGCAGCTGCTCCACAAAATCATTCAACTCATGCAGAAAAAGATCGGCCCGCTGCTCCTCGCTCAGATGTCCGTATCGCTGCAGCTGAGCCGTCAACAGTCCAAACAGTGTCGGCACATAGCTTTGGGCCAATTGCTGATGCTGCTGTTGTGTTGGTTGCGCGTGCTCCTGTTGCTGCTCCTGTTGCTGCTGCTGTTGCTGCTCTTGCTGCTGTCGAGCGGCGATGGCGCTGGGCATATGTTCCGGGTACTTGACGTAGTGACGCTGCAAGCGACGGCCCAAAAAAATCTTACTGCAGCCCGGACAGATTGCGTTTGGCGGCACAGCGCGCTCCCTTTGCACCACCACCTCAACGGCTGGCGGGTCTGCTGGCTCAGCAGCTATTGCCGGTGCACGATAGTCTTTGTCCCTCAGGTCTGTTACAAGCAGCTGCAACATTTGCGCCGAATTTGGCGCTGCTGTGGCCGACTGTGGCAAGGCGGCGCGTATAATGCGTCCGGAACGCGTCCGCAGCATAGTATCCGCATCTGAGGCAGGGATCGGCTCATTCGTGGCTTTGTTCGCAGTCTCGCTTGGCGCTGCAATGGACAATGGCGCCTTTGTCGGGATGGCTTTGCCTGCTGGCGCCGTGCGTTTGCGCGAACGGCTCGCTTTTAAGGACGTTGTCATCGCTGCCGAACGACTGCTCTGAGGTGGTTGCATGCCCATGCCTACGGGATCCATGCAGCGATAGATGGTCTTCTGGTGGGTAACGGCATCCGTGCGCACGACCTCGTTGCGCTTGCTGCCCGTAAAAAAAAAATATTTTAGTTGTGTAAAGATCTATAAAGAAGCTCACCCACCGATCAATCACAATGTGATCCTCCTTGGCCAGGCGATATAGATTGTAGGCTAGTTTGGCCAATGAGTCGCAGTCCTTGTTGGCAACGTTTACCAGCTCCGATGCAGCGGCATCTGCATCAAACTGATAGCATTCGGTTAGATGTGGTGGCGCCACAGCAGACGGCAAAAAGTCCACGCAGTTCAGCAGCGACTGATGGTAGTCGCCGCTATTGCTGTTATTATGATTATTATGATTGTTGTCGATGCTATTGTTGTTGTTGTTGTTGCTGCTGCTATTATTATTGTTGTTGTTGTTGTTGTTGTTATTGTTGTGCTTTTGCTCAGCTGCCGCGGCCTGCAGCTGGATTACAGCGCTGTCCAGCTGCTCATCGGGCAGCTCGATTGCAAAACCAAGCAGCGCATCTTTGTGAAAATTGCAGTTGTTGCTTGGCTCGCCACTGGCGCCGTTAAGCGGCACCAGCAAATTCTTCATCACTGGCCGCCACTATCAGGAGCGCCAATAGTTGCTAATTGCAAGGTCACGTTGTATACTTAACGTTTCAAACAACAAAAAATTGCAATTTGTTTTTGCCATTCACACAGAACGATAGGTATTTGCATGCACCAGAGTTGCCTGGTGGCTTACGATATGTGCAGCAGCATCGCGATGAATCGATTAGCGGCAATAATCGATTTAGTCATATTCACATCTCTATTATGAACATTTACTAAATTTGCGGCTAAAACTGCAAGCGTAATTTATCAAAACCCAACAACAAACAATTATTATAGCCAGTTATACAATTCCCAACGCCGTTCAGTTTGCTGTTGTAAAACCGATATACTCCCGCCTTCCCTACCCTTTGCACCGTCGGCGACCCAAGACCGCTTGCGATTTTATTTTTTTTTTTTTGTGCTGTGCATTTTTGGCCAAGATGTCGAAAAATAAACTGAATTTAGTGCTGCCGCCGGTAAATGTGGATACAACTGTTGCTGCCACACAGGTGGCACCAACACCGCCATTTAAAACACCATCGGGAACAGAGTAAATAAGATTTATATTTTCTATATATATATATATATATATATACATTTTAAAATGTCCAACAACATTTTTAATTTTATGCCACCCAACCGCCCACATTGCAAAGAAATAAAATGAATGCGTGCTGTTGTATATTTTGTTTTTGCGATTGCTTGACAAAATTATAACAAACACATTACGATAAACACACATAGACACGCCTACAGATAACTTGTGTACATAGATGTATGTAGGCATTTACATATGTATGTGTGTAGAAATATCCCCCCCAATGTTAATGTTCATTCCCCCCGCTAACCTAATCCCTATCCAAACCAAAATGTTGCTGCTTTTCGTTTTGTTCTGCAAAAATTCATTAAAAAGTTAAATTAAAGAACACATAGCTTGCTGGGGAAGCCAAAAACGAGCATCGATGCGCTAACGGAAACATTGGAGGGCCTGGACATGGATGACACGGAACGCAAACGAATAAAAGTTTTCCTCAGTCAGAAAGAGAAAATCGGCGAACTCTCCGAGGAGGATCTCGAAAAGTTGGGCGAACTCGGCTCCGGCAATGGCGGCGTTGTTATGAAAGTGCGCCACACCCTCACACATCTAATTATGGCACGGAAACTGATCCATCTGGAGGTGAAGCCGGCGATCAAAAAACAAATCCTGCGCGAGCTAAAAGTGCTGCACGAATGCAATTTTCCCCACATTGTTGGCTTCTATGGCGCCTTCTACAGCGACGGTGAGATAAGCATCTGCATGGAATACATGGACGGCGGCTCCCTTGATCTCATATTAAAGCGCGCCGGCCGCATACCCGAATCGATACTCGGACGCATCACGCTGGCGGTGCTGAAGGGGCTCAGCTATCTGCGGGACAAGCATGCGATCATCCATCGCGATGTAAAGCCAAGCAATATACTCGTCAACAGCAGCGGCGAGATCAAAATCTGTGATTTCGGCGTTTCGGGTCAGCTAATCGACTCGATGGCCAACTCATTTGTGGGCACGCGCAGCTACATGTCGGTTAGTTAACAAAAACGAATCCTATTTTGGTCAAGGGGAAAAACTGTTCAGCGAAATTATCAAACTACTTGACTTGAGCACTTTTTCCTTATGGCCGCAAACAAAATTTAACTTATATTCAATGTTTCTTCTGAGAAAATGTAACTGTAAATAATTTGTGCATTGTTTTCTCAACAAGCTTCAAATTCTCTTCATCTGAAAACAATCTGGTTTTTCGAGTCCTGTAACAAGGATATATAAAGTACAAATAATATAGAAACTTATTTTAAAATACAGTAGCCGCTCTTAATTTAGAATTTGAAGAAATTATTGCTGTCTACAAATCCATTTTTATGGTTTTCTATTCTTAGACTATATTTGAAATATACAACTTTTATAGGTTGGCCCATAAAAACATAAATTCTTAAATATCATAAACTTCAATTTATGCGGTTTGCTGACATATTTCCTATACATTAATAAGATTTGTGGGCTCTTGGGATTTTTTGGGACGCTGTGCTCCTAACTGATGAAAATCCTCGCAAAAAATCCGGGACTTCCCCATATTCCAAATTTGAGTAATTTATCATTTCTGGAACCGAAGCGTTCTATTCTTCAGGGGGCTACTGTATTTTAAAAAAATTTCTATATGTATTAGGTGATTTGTTCTAAAACTCAACATCAATATTTAACAATAGAAACTACATTTGAAAAAAGTTACTTTTAAACATGAATTAAAACAAGGCTAGATTAGAACGCGCCACAATCAGAATTTTCTTGTTGTCGCGCCGATTGATTAACATTTAAGTTATAAACAACAATAAAGTATGTTGCATATTTCAAATAAATTAGCTTAAATCCCAAAAATAAGTTTACAATTATATGTATGCATCCAGCATCCTAATGTTGAAATGTTTTTGCAGCCGGAACGACTGCAGGGCACACACTACTCGGTACAGTCGGACATTTGGTCGCTGGGTCTGTCACTGGTTGAGATGGCCATCGGCATGTATCCAATACCGCCGCCGGATTCGTCAACGCTGGAGACCATATTCGCAGAGAACGCCAATGAGGATGGCAATCAAACGGTGCTGGAGCCCAAAGTGATGGCAATATTCGAGCTGCTCGATTATATTGTTAACGAGCCGCCGCCGAAGCTGGAACACAAGATATTCTCAAATGAGTTCAAGGACTTTGTCGACATCTGTCTCAAAAAGCAGCCGGACGAGCGTGCCGATCTCAAGACGTTGTTGGTGAGGCGAAGTTAATTTTCGCAGCTGTTCTTGTTGTTGCCATTATTGCTATTGTAATACTGATGCATTTGCATTCCCATTGCCAGAGCCATCCATGGATACGGAAAGCGGAGGTGGAGGATGTCGACATATCGGGCTGGGTATGCAAGACAATGGACTTGCCGCCATCGACGCCGAAACGCAATACATCGCCCAACTAATTAGCATTCCTTTATTTCACGCTCGCGCACGCACATACACGTTATTTATTTGTATGTAGTTATGTATGTACTTGTTGTATCAACTTGCTCCCACACTCTACACACTCTGTCGCTCCACTTTCTGGCACTTTGTGTGCGTGCGTTCGCTGTCACTGGCCTTAGCACTCAAACAAACGAGCACAAGCATACGCAGACGACACAAGGAAAGAAAGGAGAGTGCAAAAACTGAACAATACAAAAAAATTAAATGAGTCGAAATTGTATTCGCCATCTAACAAATCGCCTAATTGAAATTGTTTTGGCCCAACTACTAGTAGGCCGGGAATTCAATGTGCTGTAGGTTAGCATCTGGGGAACCGAGACGGAGCTCCTGCTCATTCGTTGACTGGTTCGCCTTGTAGCATAACAAAATTTTCTGACTTATCCGAAAAAAGTTTTATTTTTTCTACACACAAACTTTAAGAAAATATCTTGTCCAATAATGTCGAACTTTTTGAAAGTATTTCGATTGGGACAAAACATGTTGGCCAACTGTCGTGTAGCCAAATTCCAACGCTCAATTTCGGTCACTGCATTCCAGTTGCAAAATCTGAAGGGAGAAGCCTTAAAGAAACCGATGCCAGAAGAGGAGAAGCCCGCATCGCCAACTCCAGTAGGTTTGACCCCATCGCAGCGCAATTTGGTTGAGTTCGTAACCGGCGAAATACTGGAAGAACGCCGCGTACAGTTGCAGTTGGAACCGCCGTACATGATTGACGAGTTTACTGGACATTTTTCTGGCTCCAAGGTGGAGCTAATAAGAGAGTCACCTGACGAACGCATTAATATTTTCTTTAATGTTAGCAAAAGTGTGCCGCGTCGGAATGATGAGACAGGCGATCTGACTCCAGTGCGCAGCGTTCCTAAATTTGAAGTGCTAATCAGAAGAAATGATTTGCTGCTATCTATATTTTGTGTATTTAAGCCGTGCGCCTTTGATGATGTGGAGCCGGAGTCCTTGGATCAGCAGCCTCAAGAAAATGATGTATTTGAGATTCAAGATCTATCGCTATACAATCACGGCTGGAATGACAGCTGCTTTACCATTGATGCATCGCTCATTGATGACAATTTACAAACCATGATTCTGGAGATGCTTGAAGAGAAGGGCATTACGCATGAGTTTGCTAGAAAGCTTTCCGACATGGCCACTGCTCGCGAGCATGCCCTGTATATCGAGTTTTTGGAGAATCTATCCAAGTTTACTGTGGGCCTACCGCAGCCAATTAAACAGGACGCAAACTAAGTTTTTCCATAACTATTTATTATTTATAAATAGTCCCTAATAAATGCGAATGTAATCCGAGTAACAATTTTTAAATTATTTAAAACGCGCGCTTGCTAAAAACGCTTTTTGACAGTATGGCAACGCCGTTGCAAAGCCCAGTTAACGTCAACAGTCGAGCTTTGGCTGGCAACGCCGTCGTAACCTGTGACGACAGCAAGCAAAATGAAAACATCAAACGCTGTTATTGTTGTTGCGCTTGTTATTGGTCCACTGTTTGCCAAATTAAGTATATAAATAGGCAGCCGTAGTTAGTTTTGATAAGTGTGAGTGTGTCGATTGTGCTTAGTCACAGATTCAGTTTCAGTACGCAATTGCCATTAAATTGTTGAATGTATTTCCTGTGTAATTGCATTTGCAGTGAGACGCCAAAAGCTAGCAACCATCCATCGGTCAGAGCGAGGGCAAAAACAAAGCAGCGGCGGCAGCAGCAGCGCTCAGTTCCGGACGCAGTAAAAGTTCTTTGTCTGCGCAAAGCAGCGACGCCTACCGCGACGGCCTGGGTACGTGCGTCGCTGTAAAATTTGCAGTTGTTTGTTGACAGCGAACGGGCGACGATTCGGCGTTGACAGCGACGGCGGCGTCAACGGCGGCAGCGCACTGTTATAGTTGGAGTTGGTGTGCGAATGTGTATGTGTGAATATGTAAGTGTGCGAGACGAGAAATGCAAGTGCAACTAAACAAAGCAACAGCTTACCACGCGCCATAACAACAACAGGAGCTGAACAGTCAGTCAAACTAAGCGCTGCAACGCGGACGTGCGCGTCGCCAGTAAACAAAAGAAAGCTGGCCAAGCTGCTGCTGCTGGTGCTGCTGCTGCTGCAACTGCAATTGCAACAGGCAACAATATTAAGGACGAAGACAACGCAACAAAGGCAGTTAACAAACCGTTAAAGGGCATTTGACAACGAGAGAAAATCAAACAAATCAAAAAAAAAAAATAAACAAAAATGTCATCTGTGAATGTGAACCAAAAAGAGAGTCCCAGCCGCGACTCGACGGCCTCAACATCGGGACACATATCAATGATGGCCGAGAATACGCTGGAGTCTCTGTCCAGAGACTACAGCCTGGTCAGTCTCAATTCGGCTGGCAGCCAGGACGAGTTCTTTCGCTGTCGCGATCATGCGGACAGCGTTCTGAAGCGCATGCAGCTGTATGTGGACAGCCAGCAGCTGTGCGATGTGGTGCTCATCGCTGGCATTGATGGCAAGCGGTAAGTGGACGCCAAATGACAACAAATGGGCAGCCCAAACAAAGAATGGAAAGTTGTTGCAATGCGCAAAAGCAATTTTCCGCACCCGCCAATTCCCGGCCGCCAGCGCCATCAACGAATTCGCCTCATTAGCAATTCACCATCCGGCACATGCCCGCCGCTCTCCCTCTCTTAGCCAAGCTAACGTCTGACCTTCACTTTAGCGCTGGCAGTTCACTCGGTTCTTTGTCTCTGTGTCCCATTCGCACACCAGTTTCCCTAGTCTCCAAGCGGTCGAAGCAGCAACGCAATTCCAACAGTAAACACAACGCGCCGCACTAATTGCGTTTGCGATGCATGCTCTCTCTTGCTCACTGCGCCGCTCTCTGCCAGCCAGATTGATCGCCGGAGAGCGGTGTGCGAGACAGAGATAGATATTGAAATAGAGCATTGAGCCGACTGATTGACGTGCATTCTGCACCAGTGCTGCCCATTGCCGCAGCAATAAAAACAGCTGAATATTCAATGTTAAAAATATCTGAATTAGCTTTCTGGTCGCAGATTGGCATCAAACAGGATTTCTAGTACTTTGCACTGAGATGCAGAGACAAAAGGCTAAATAAGTGAAAAATTTCAACTGTTTCCTGCTGACAATGTCTGAAAATAGCCTCATTGGCAGCACTGGCCTGCACAGGAGTAAAAGTTGATTTGTTTTTGCTTAGATAAGTCAATTATTTATATTTATTGTAGATGCCCCTTTCAATTGTTTTTCCATTGCACCAATTAACCCATTCAAGACATAGCCATATGATTTATAAGTTCCTTCACTGACAATTTTCAAAGATAAAAGTCAAGATCTTGCAAGTACATTGCATGTTTGCAAGGTCACAGTTTGAATGCCACTGCGTTCGGGTCAGGAAAGGCTGCAGATTCCGAACTGCAACGTATTCACATTAGATAAGCAAAATGAATAGCATTTACCTTGTTTTTACAGCGTGCCCGCTCACCGCTTGGTGCTATCCGCTTCGAGTGCATATTTTTCAGCAATGTTTACGGGTTCGCTGCGCGAGACCAAGGAGCACGAGGTTACCCTGGGCGAGGTGCACGGCGATGCGCTGCAGCTGCTGGTGCAGTATTGCTATACAGGATTCATTGAGTTGCGCGAGGACACTGTGGAAACTCTGCTGGCCACCGCCTGTCTGCTGCAGCTAAACTCTGTGGTGACGGCCTGCTGCAATTTCCTGGCACGCCAGCTGCATCCATCCAATTGTCTGGGCTTTGCATTCTTTGCCGAGCAACAGAGCTGCACGGCGCTGCTGCGGCTGGCGCAGGCCTACACCTGCCAGTACTTTATGCAGGTGTGCCAGAATCAGGAGTTCTTTCAGCTAAACGCCGATCAGCTGGGCAAGCTGCTGTGCAGCGATGATCTCAATGTGCCATCCGAGCAGGATGTTTTCCACAGTCTGATGTCTTGGGTGCGCCACGATGCGCCCAATCGGGAGCAACACATTGCCGAGCTGCTGGCGCTGGTACGTCTGCCCCTGCTACAGCCGGCATTCATAATGGACAACGTGGAGAGCGTGTGCAGCGCCAATGAGTGCCAACAGCTTGTGATGGAGGCCTTCAAATGGCATCTTATGCCCGAGCGGCGTTCGCGCATTGCCACCGAACGCACCACGCCGCGAAAATCGACCGTCGGTCGACTGCTCGCTGTTGGCGGCATGGATGCCCACAAGGGCGCCATCACCATTGAGAGCTACTGTCCGCGCCTGGACAAGTGGACGCCTTGGAAGCATATGACTGGCCGGCGGTTGCAGTTTGGCGCCGCTGTTATGGAGGATAAACTGATTTTGGTGGGCGGACGCGATGGACTCAAGACCCTAAATACCGTGGAGAGCCTGGACTTGAATACGATGGCCTGGGTACTACTAAATCCCATGGCAACACCCCGTCATGGTCTTGGCGTGGCAGTGCTGGAGGGCCCGCTGTATGCGGTCGGTGGACACGATGGCTGGAGCTACCTGAATACGGTTGAACGGTAAAGGGACATTCAATCTAAAAAAAAAACCAACACGAACGAACTGTAACCCATATATATTTCTTGTAGCTGGGATCCTCTTGCGCGCACCTGGAGCTATGTGGCGCCCATGTCATCGATGCGTTCGACGGCTGGTGTTGCGGTGCTGGGCGGTCGTCTCTATGCGGTGGGCGGACGTGACGGCTCCGTCTGTCATCGCTCCATCGAATGCTACGATCCGCATACAAATAAATGGAGCCTCCTCGCACCAATGAATCGACGCCGCGGTGGCGTTGGCGTAAGCATTAACAAACAGTTTTAATCATCTGCATCAGATTTTTAAATGAATTGAACGCTGCAGGTGGCTGTTGCAAATGGTTTTCTCTATGCCTTGGGCGGCCACGATTGTCCGGCCAGCAATCCCATGGTGTGTCGCACCGAGACCGTTGAGCGTTATGATCCTGTCACCGATACCTGGACACTGGTAAACCCATTGCTAACTGAATTCTAACAATTTGCGATCGTTTAGCTAAAGTGCATTCCGCCAATTGATTAATTTTGTCTGTTTCCCATCTTAAAACAGATTTGCTCGCTGGCTTTGGGTCGCGATGCGATTGGCTGTGCTCTGCTCGGGGATCGTTTAATTGTCGTCGGCGGCTACGATGGCAATACTGCGCTGAAAAGTGTCGAGGAATATGATCCGGTGCGCAATGGCTGGAATGATCTGTCGCCCATGTCGTTTCCGCGTGCCGGCGCCTGTGTCGTTGCCATACCGAATGTTATACCGCCAGCAGCTCCACAGCCGCCGGCCAGTGCTACAGTTTAGTTACGCTTCAATTATTGTTGTTGTTGATGTTGCTGTTGTTGTAGTTGTGTGTATGAGCTGTTGTGTACTGCTACTGCACAATGACCACTGCTATTCCTATTACCTTTTACCTATAACTGTTATTCTTACACCTACATTCATGCCTATGTACTACGCAACACGCGTTTGCGTTCTGGTCCGCTCCGTTCGGGTCTGGTCAGCTCCGTTCGGATCTGGCCTGATCTGGTCTGGCATTTGTTGGTACTTGGTACACACACTCGCTTTATTTTACCCGCTATTATTCAAACGTAATCTCATGCCAAGTGATACAAGAAATTGAAAAAAAATAAAACAATTAATCAGTCAATGCTCAAGCGCCTGCCCAGCGAACACCAGTAACCAGTGAACTAATGCATGCTGCGAGACTTTCGAATGCATTCCCAACTAAATCGTTCTATATTTATATACATACCTTATGCATTTTGATATTATTCTCATCTATATAATTTCATTTGTTGTATGCATCACATTCCATTATTTCCATACCAGGTATGTCACCACCATCTTCATATATGCTGTCATACACTACATATTAGATGCATGTTCTCTTCTCCACCTGGTGTCAGTTTCATCTCACACACCTCTCACTTCCATTGAGCGTTCTGTATGCTACATAAGACTGCGCCACCCAATTCCTAAATGGCCTAACTATTTGCTTTTTGCTCATATATACGCATGCATGTGAAGTGTAAGACAAACCCTTTGGTTACTACATATAGTTTATAGATAGTGCAAATTTACAAAAAAAAAAAAAAGACAAAAATTACAAAAAAAAAAACCAATTAATAATATCACCATGCAGCAAGTTTGATAAAGAGAATGAATAGTTTACGGCTTTGGCTGTTTATTTTGCACTCCCATTATATTTACATTTACTGTTTATTATTACATATGTATATGTGTATGATTACAAGCATTTATTTTTAATTGTCTATTATTATTTTCTTTCTTTTCCTTTTTTCGACGTGTTTCTCTTACTGCATTTACGCGTATTTTTTGTAGAAAAAGAAGAAGTGGAAGCCAGTCAGATTGGATCCAATCTGCTATAGGCGTCGTAGATCCGTCGAATTTGTCGACTACTATCATATGTAATTACGAAAAAACAAAACTATAAATATTTAAGAAAAACAAAAGTAAGATCAAGCAAAAGCCAACACAAATGGTTACTTTTAAATAATACGTATTATTTTATACAATCATATATTTATATTTTTACACAATCAAAACAAACATACACTACGCATAAATGTATACACTGAATATGTATTTTTTGTAATAAAATATATTCTTTATTTATACGTTGCTAAATGCAGCAGTAAAATGAAAATTAAAGTGTACAACTAATTGATAGACTGTTAATATTTCAAATAATGGCCATTGCTTTTTTTTATAACGACTATCTAGTATTTTGGCATAAGCTTTTGGTATTTTAAAAGTTCTACTGGCCCAGATATACGGCCACATCGATGCAGCAACCACGTTAGTATTTTATACTATTTTTCTCGGTATATTTTAGTACTTGCACATTATTGACATTGAATTGCATATACAATTCAATTAAACACAAATCCAATTAGCGCACATTTCGACTGACGAGTTTGTTACAGTCGGCATCATGGATGCGGAGCAGCTGAAACAACTTGAACGCAAGGATACCGCTCACATCGCTGACATACTCAGCCAGTTTAATACAAAGGTAAAACACACACCAGCCACTATTTTTCGTGCTGTGACTAATATTTGTTAATTGACTGATTGTGGTGACGCCCGCAGAATGCGGATCTTCTGACCTTCGATAGCTTTCATACGGACAACCTATGGCATGACCTGTGGCTGGCTATATTCGGCATCCTCGATGACGCGACCCTGCAATCGGTGCACGCCCAATGTCTCAACACTGTTCGCATTTTGACACGCGATGAGTTCAGCCTGCAGACGCACTTCGTCGAGCAGGAGCTGGGCACGCTCTTATCACTGGCGCGCATCAATGCCAGCAGCAATGAGGATGGTGCACAGCCACAGCTTGACGATGCCCAGGCGGAGGTTATTGCCGAGGCTTTGAAATGCCTGTGTAACTTGGTGTATCAAAGCGCCGACTGCCGGCGCCAGTGTCTGCGTCAGCACAGTCTCGATGTGCTTGTAAAGCGCTTGGGCACCGCCTCATCGACACGTTATCCTTGCACTTTGGAATACTATGATATGAAGCTGTTGTTTTTGCTTACCGCATTGGAGCCAACAGCGCGCACACGCCTACAAATTGATCTCAATGGACTGACTTACATGACGAAATGGTTGGACGACAAGTTGGCGGATTCTGCCACAGCTGCCAGCGAGGAGCAGCTAAACATAATCTGTGAGCTGCTGAAGGTTATGTTTACGGTGACCAGTGCGCCGGACAAGAGCCCCAACGAATACGAAATTCAAAGTCTTCATCTGACAGGCGTTCTGCGGGAACTGCTATTGCGGTTTGGCAGGCTATCCACAGAACGGGAACGCGCCATTGTGACACACGCAATTAATTTGCTGACCAACATATCGGACAGCTGCCTAACCGAGCTGACGCTCAAGTGTAACTCAGCGGACACGGAAACGGAGAGTGTGAAAGAGTGTACCGTTGCATCTGGTACTACAGAGCCGCAGCCGGCCTCGAAATGCTGTGCCCTGTGCTTTGAGAAGCGCAACGTGCGCAGCCTGGCGGTGCTGTTAGACTATCTGCGTGGTGGACTCGCCCAGCAAGAGACAGAGGCCAGCTCCCACGAGCTGCTGTCCCCAGTGCTGACGGTGCTGGTGAAGTGTGCACGCAGCGATCGCACCATGCGACACTATTTGCGAAAGGAGATCCTACCGCCACTGAAGGACGTCAGCAAGAGGCCAGAGATTGGCAATGAGCTACGCAACCATCTCTGTCGTTTTCTCACGCTGCCTGCCATGATTCTGCGGGACCTGGCCGCTGAGCTACTATTCATACTATGCAAAGAGGATGTCGGTCGCATGATCAAGTACACGGGATATGGCAATGCGGCTGGCTTGTTTGCCAAACGCGGCGTACTCGACTGCCGGCGTATTGAGGGCGCCGACTACTCGTCGGACAGCGAGGACAGCGATACGGAGGAGTACAAGCAACAACAGCAGAGCTTCAATCCGGTGCTCGGCTGTGTAGAGCAGCCCAAGCGTAATCCGCTCGAGGGCATGACCGAGGAGCAAAAAGAGTACGAGGCGTTGCAGCTGGTCAATTTGTTGGAAAAGCTGCGCAAGGATGGCATCGTGCAGCCGGCGCTTATTGACAAGGATGGCAAACCACAGCCACTGGAGCACATACTACAGCTACAGGAGGAGCTGCCCCAGCAGCAGCTGGAGCAGAAGCGAAAAACCTAAGCAACGTAACGCATCGATTCGCGTACAACATGCAAAACAATCGTCGTTGGGGTCTTCCAAATTGTGGCCACATCGCCTCCCAGTCTGCCAGATCTGGATCACTGCAACCCCTTTCTCACCTTATACATACACAATTCTCGGCCGTAGCACTACGAATGCCGTTTCAATCTAATAGTCAAATTTAACTTAGTTTTTTATTTTTCTGTGTAATATTTAAGCGCATTGTTATTCCAGTATTTACATTTGCTAACAGGCAGTGCTAGATAGATACACGGTTGGCTTTTATATAAATATATATATATATATGTATATATATATATTCCACTTTTATTGTATCTGCAAGTGAATTTTTCATTTATCTTGATCGAATGTGTATTTATACCCGCTTAAGCTCAACACCAACTAAAATGGAAGAATGAGAAAAATCAGACCTAAGAATATAAGCTATATATATATCATTCTTTAGGCATACATTGCAATCTATATAGAGCTTTATTGTGTTCAATTTTGATAGTCAATGGGGCTTAGTTGCCTACAGATTTGCGACTAGCGATATATATACATAAATATATCTAGCATATAGATGATATATATTTACTAAATACATGTACTTATATTTGCTGGTACTAAATTACGTATATGCTTAATAAAAGTTCTCTGTGAAAGCAAAGTTGCAAGAAAATGAAATCCCCTTAAACAAAAATATGCATGTACATTTATCTAAGACTCGATTTGTTGGCCAAAATTTGGAAATTTTATTGCGTACTTGTAAGCAAAATATTTCAATTGTCTTTCATTCAATTCATGTCGTGTACAATTAGAATATTTCTTAGATTTAAGGCAAATATTTTTTGATTTTGTTTTGATTTTTATTTTTTTTTTTAATTGTGTTTCCATTTAGACCATAAACAACGCAATTTTGTAGAAGTGAAGTCTCGCCAAGCCTGATTTGGACCTCAATCCAGGTGAGGGCTTATACAATCTTGATTTACCAGCCAGAATAGAGTGGGATTCGATTTTGTTGAGAAACCCACAAAACTAAATTATAAACTCTTTTAACTATTTCTAGTAACCAGGACTTAGGACTAACTTCTATAAAAAGGCCTAATTGAAGCTAATTGGAAAAACCAAAGTTTCGGACTAATCGAAGCGTCTGAGGAAGAGCTAAGGCGCAGCTCAGCTTGGGATCATGCTGGTAAGTATGAAACATTTCTTTAAAATAGTCAATTAAGAAGACAATTTGTTTTTCTTTTAGTCTAACTAAGTAAAACTTTAAACTCTATTCGAAGCTGTGGCACATTAATTATGTATGTATATGCATGTGTGTACATATTTGTATAATTCGCAAGATGTTTCCTGTGCCTGGCTGAATTCTCCATTGTTGAGTTGTTGTTCTCTTTCTTGTTGTATTTGTTATTGTTATTGTTAAACTTGCTTGGCATCCGATCCGGGGCGATATGTATATAGATAGGTCTGGTTACTTGCGAGTTGCATGCGGCTCATCGTTTTTCATCGGCTCAAAGTTGTCATAGAAATTGGCCTCCTGGATGCGCAGGCGATCGCAGCTGGGCGCCGCTGACTGATGATGCCGCTTGGCGTTATGTCCATGAGTGTGCTCCCGCTTGTTCCAGGCATGCTCGAACGCCTGATTCTTGACTGGCTCCGGAAAGTAATTGGAATAGAAGTGCGTTGCCTGTTGGCCACTTTTCTGGTTAACATCGCAGCCATGCATATTGTCGATGTCGGCTGTGTCCAGCATCGAGGGTGACAATGGACGACGTGCATCTGGTGTGCCCATTGGCTGGGCATGGCAGCTGCTGGTCTTGTACACGTTGCACAGATCGGGCAGCTCGTAGGCATTCGCGTTGGTCTCGTCGCGTGCCAGAAACTCGCGCATTTGCAGCTGCTTCTGCTTGTCCCGGTCCAGTTTAGGCACATCCAAGCCAGCTTCGCTCTTGCTCGTCGTCGATGCCGGCGGCGGCGGCGGTGGTGGGGGTGGCGGTGGCTGCGGCGGCTGGATCGGCGAGGACTGCAGCAACCGCTCGATATGCTGGCGCAGACTCTGCTTGGTGAGCAGCTGCTGATTGTCCTGCACATAGTGGAACAGCTGTCGCTTGCACTTGGCCATCTCCTCCTCCAGGCGGCTCAGGCGCGTCTTATAGCAAACGAACGCGGCCGAAGCATTTGACGCTTTAATATTGCCCTCCAACTTGTCGCCGAGCTCGCCCGGCTCCAATGGCGCCGACACCTGCGACAACGAATCCGCCTGTCGCGTTGTGCCCTCGGGCGTATAGAAGCGGTCGCCCTCATCATCCGGATGCATTTGCATTTGCCGCTGCTGCTTGAGCAGACGCAGTGCGCTCTCGGATGCTTCCTGGGCTATTTTACGCATTTGATGCTTCTGGATTAGCTGCTGTTGGGCACGTTGATTCAGTGCATCGGCTTCGCTGATATTGTACTTCTTCTGCTGCAGCTCCTGATGCTCTAGCTTCAGTCGCTCCAAGGCGGATGTCAGGTCGATGGGCTTATGATCCTTGCGCAATTGCTGCTCCAAAGTCTGGGCCTGAGCCGGGCTCTGCGATTGAGGCTGAGCCTGGGCCTGTGCTTGAGCCTGCGCCTGGGCCAACTGCATTGTTTTGGGCACCACCCGTTCCATAGTTTTGACGTGCGCCTGGGCGTACTTCCTCAATTGCAGATCGGCCAACTCTTGAGCATGGGACTGGGCCAGTTGTTCGGCATGCGATTTAACCATGTCTGCCGCATGCATATTGGACATGGTCTGGTCGCGCATTTGCGAATATTGTTGGCTTATTGTTTCAGAGAGCTCTTCCTCGGTCGACGGCTCGAGCTCTATTTTGGCATCCCTCCTGGCCAACTCTGCCTCCTTGATCTTGATCAGACGCCGCTCCTTGCACTCCTTGCGCAGCTTGCGAACCCGCGCGCGCAGCTGTGCCGTGGTGCCCATTGACTCCGGTTCCGCCGGTGGTGGCACGTGCATGGGCAAGGGTCCGGGCACCGGCACAGGTTCCGTCCATAAGCGCAGCGGTGGCTGCGCTGCCGCCGGCCCGGCTGCCGCTGCAGCTGGCGGTGCGACGGTTGGTGCAGCCGCTGGCCCAATTGGCGCCTGCCACAGGCCACCGCTGACGCAGCGCGGTGCCGTTGCAGCCACAGCGGCCAGTTCCCGGCGCAGTGCCACATGCGTCGGTTCCGTGCGACGCAGCTGCGCGGCCTCATTGAAACCGTTCGCATAACGCTTGCCGCGATGCACCAGCTGCTGCGGCTGCTGATGCTGGCAGTTCTGGTGCAGCTGGTGCTGCTGGTGCTGCTGGTGCTGCTGTTGCGCCTGCTGCTGGTGGTAGCGCTGTGGAAAGTGTTGCTGCTGCTCCAAGTGTCGCTGCTTTCGTTGCTCCTCCGCCCAGGCCTTGGTCAGCGAGGTGATCGGCTTCTCGGGCAGCTGCTCCACATGCCCAGTGCCAGCTGCATGGAAATGGCCAGCGGGTGCTCTACGAATAGCGAATGGGAAGTGGAATGAGCAAAGCTTGTGGCATTACGGGTAATTGTCGGCGAGGGCGAACACCTTGCTGGAAGGCTTCAGGTGCATAGAGCTTCCGGAGCGCTGCCTCATAGTATAATATTAATGTGTCCGAACTAACTAAAATAGTTGCTATTTTTTTATTTTTTTCTTCAAATTTTATGCTCCAAATATTTTATTGCAAACATTTTCTAGATATGCCAAGATCGTGTAGATGTCAGCGGAAGTGTGCATTCAATTGGTAATACTATTAAATTCTATTTTAGATAAGTGTAATCGTACGGAAACTGCGAACTCAAAATATTTGGGAGCCTAACTTAGTGCTGGCTATGGACATTACGGATATGTGGAACGGCGCTGAGCAGCTCGAGCGATGCGTTGTCTTGGCTGCTGTGAATCGTTTGATTTTCTAGCTGTCGACTCAAACGATGCTGGGATTGAGCCTGAGGTTGAGTTTGACATGGAGGATGACGTTTCCCGCCCACTTTTGGCGCATGCCGCTCGCTGCGGTTGCTGTTTGCAGTTGATTGTTGTCATTGTCTTGGTTGTCCCCGTTGTCGTCGTTGTCGTTGTCGTTGTCGATGTGGTGTCCACTGTACTGGCCGTGGTCGTCGCTGTGACTGAGCGACGATATCTGCAAAAGCGAGCGAGCAGCTAGAGACGTGCCCTGCACAAACAAAAGGAACCACCCAGTAGCCAGAGCCCAGGCCTCGCCACGCCAAAGCAATTAGTGCCGCCCACTTACCTGGACTTCGATACGGATCTGATGACGCGCGTGGTGATGCCCGGCTGCAGTTCGGGGCCATTTGTTGGGGTCGTCTGTGTGGTGCTCGAGTGCCGTGCACTGGATCGCATGTCGGGCGCAATCATCTCGTAGAGCGTGGAACGGTACTCGTCCACGCCGTAGCGTACATCGTCGTCGAGCGGCGGCTTGATGTCCGTGCGCAGCTCCATGTTTGCGGAGGCAGTGCGAAAGCGATGCACATACGAGTGGGCGATGGCCTCCTTGGCGGTCAGCCGGCCATCCGGATCCAGGACCAACAGCGACTTGACCAGAGACATGGCATCGTCGCAACAGTTGCGCAGCATCTCGTCCAGCGAGTGGCGGCGATCCCGCACAATCTTCTTGCTGAGCAGCACCGAGCCGAAGCTGGCTCCAATCGATTCGATGTCCCGCTCCGTCACATCCGGCAGCGCATTCACGATCTTCTCAATCTGCCGTCAACCAGAACAATAACAATTATAATAATAAGTACTACCAGCGTGGTTATTCAACGGGTCAACTACCTGATTTATTGTGCTGGTGCCCTGGAAGAGCGGCTTCTGGCGTATCATCTCGCCGAGAATGCAGCCCAGGCTCCACATATCAATGCCCTTTGTATATCTATACGAATGCACAAGAGATTTCAGTTCACATAAAAGTGTGCTCTACTCAACGCTTACTTGCGACTGGCCACCAGAATTTCGGGCGCCCGATACCAGCGGGTAGCCACATAATCCGTCAGCATGGCCTCGTTGTCCAGCTCATCCTTGCAGTCAAAGTCCACATTGTTGCGCCGCTTCGAGCACAGAGTGCGCGCCAGTCCAAAGTCGGCCACCTTGAGTCTGTCGGAATAATTATATGACTATCATATATTACCAAAATTTTTAACATATCGAGCCCGTTAAAAGTCGATCTAGCCGAGTCCGTATCTCTAGTCAATTCGTCTGTCTGTATTTGTGAACGCAAGCATCTCGGAACCTATAAGGGAGAGATTTGAACTTAGGCTCCTCCTAATGCCCGCGCAGTACGATAGTCGATAACAAGTTATCAAGTTATCGATAAAAATCGATATCGATTAATGTACTCTATCGTAGTGCTCGCTCGCGAAATAGAACGCTTCGGTGTAATGGAGGATTTCTCAAATTCTCGGCTCGAACCAAGACAGGGCCTTGAGATTATCCCTGAACTTGTCATTTTTCAACCGCCCGTTCTACTGAAAATATCGATAGTAAATATTTTCATAACGAATTTACGGGCTAAATTTTGTCTCTACCCGAAATTATCATCTGACAAATAGATGGTTGCTGGTGCCAAGTTTTTTTTTTTGCATTGTCACTGAATCTTACCCAAAAGTCTTTTTATTTGAAACCTAACCAGCTTTTAAGAAGATTATATAATTGGGTTCGGGTTTGTGTTGAACTATTATCGGGTTGACTGGGGATGTATTTAAGATTGGGTTCTAGATCAAAGATCTCTATGTGCCATGTTGGATCAGATCGATTGGGCTTACCTGCATTTGCTGTCAATGAGAATGTTGCTCGGCTTGAGATCCCTGTGTATGACATTTCCGGAGTGCATGTACTTGATCGCATTGATCAGCTGGTACATGACAAAGCGCTTGTGTATATCCTTGAGGACGTCCCCCTTCTTGATAACATTGTGCAGATCGCTGTCCATGAACTCGAACACCAAATAAAAGTCCAAATTGTTAGCAGCCCTAGACAAGAGAAAGCATTAAAAGCATAGCCAAGCGATGGATCTTTTTGGGCTGGGAACGTACTTGAATATGTCCAGCATGCGTATAATATTGGGATGGTGGCGAAAGGCGCGCAGGAAGACAACCTCGCGATATGTGCGCTGGGCATCGGTTTCATCCCGGAAGGCGTCGTAGATCTTCTTGAGGGCCACGGTGTCCTTTTGCCGCTTGTCGGTGGCCTTCCACACGATGCCGTAGGCGCCCTTGCCCAGGCGCTACACAGTACCGATAACGATAACGATGACGATAATCGATGACGATATCGATAACGATATGGATATTAATAACGATATCGATATTGATAATGATTTCGATAACGATAATCGATGACGATATCGATAACGATATAGATATTAATAACGATATCGATATTGATAATGGTTTCGATAACGATAATCGATGACGATAGCGATATGGATATCGATAACGATTTGCCTACCTTGCGCACTTCGAAGTAACGCTCCACATTCTGGTCTAGCTCATGAATGCGTCGCTCCTGGGCATTCGATTGTCGCTCGGCCATTAGCTTCTCCTTGTCTTTATCTTTGTCCTTGTTCCTCTCCTTGTGCTTCTCCTTGATCAAGGGCCGATGATGAAGTGGCTCGCTCTTCCGGACCCTCATATGAGCAGCCTGATGTTGATGCGCCTCCCGCTGCCTCTCCGTTTGCTGCGGCTGCTGCTGCGTCTGCTCCTGCTGCTGCGCCTGCTCCTGCTGCTGCTGCAGTTTTCGATGCCGACGACGAAATTTGCGCTTTTCCACCTCCAGCTCTGGAATGGCAATGATATTGTCAGCAAATCCACCAACTTTTCGCACGACCTGGCGTCGGTTGGCTTCGTCCTGGGCGGGCGCCAGTTTGTGGCAAGCCCTCCAACACTCCTAATGGCGCCTGCGGGTGGCAAGATAGTTGGAGGGAGGGGGAGCGTGTACTAAGGTGCATGCTGTTGCCAGTTGCTGCAAGTTGTTGCTGTTGTCGCCTTAAATCGCTCCCAAATAGCAACTCCGTTTTGGAGCATCGCGTGTGAATGTCGCCGTTCGCATTCCCAGACTCAGGCTCCATATGCAAACGGCGGCTCAAGTATGTTAAAAGGCAACAACAACAACAACAACAACAATTGCAACAACAAATAATCATGAGGCAATTTGATTGAAACCGAATTATTGTTAGATCGATCGAAAAGCGAAAGTGGGCGACGACAACAGCAACAAACTGAAGACCCAGGGGCAAACAATTTGGCCTAGCAATGCCAACAAATGGACAAATGGAACCAGGACTCTCAAGTGCCCGGGGCAACCTCATGTGTTGCAGCTGCTGCTGCTGTTGTTGTTGTTGTTGTCGTTGTTGTTGTTGTCATTGCAAGTGGCAGCCCCGCAGAAAACAATCAAACAACGCCTCAAACGCCATCGACTCGTGCATGCAATCGGCGGGCGTAGAGCAAAAATGAATTTGTTTAACAATAAATATGCGCAAAGAAGTCCATTTGAGCCCATTTAAATGTGTGTACACTGTCCAGCCAAGCAAATTGGCCTCAAAGCGAACCGTTTACAAATCCCTTGCTCTTGCATGCCGATCAATATAAGAAGACAATAGAGCAGCCAATTTAGCTATTTTCTAGCTAACTTAGCTGCCAATATTTTTTATAGGGTATGAGCTTTTGTAGTCTTTGGCTGAAGCTGATTTTCAAAGTGATTTGAACCGAGTTTCTGGCTCAAATCTGACATATTAAATGTTTATAAAAATTGCAGCCTACATTTTATATCCGACAAATGCACTGGCTGTGGCTCAAGATATATATATATATATATATTTTGGGAACGGAACAATTTTATGCAGCACAGTGTAGTGTAGAGAATGGGCTAAACAGACTTTGGCAGAGCTACTTTTGAGAATCAAGTGGCAAAATGTGGCATGTCACTTACCTGCCGACTGAAGGATGGGCGACTGCTGCAGCTGGGCGGGCCTGGCACCTGGACGAGCCGAATGTGGGGCAACCGCTGGCAATCGAGGTACAAGCAGCTGCTAGAGTATTGACAGCATCAACTTACAATTTGCACACGATACACCATTAAATACAAAAAAAAAAAAAAAAAAACACCAAAATAAACACGAAAAAAAAACCAGTTAAAATAATCAAGACTAAACACGAATCCAAAAGTAACTGTGGAAGATATTTGTAGAGTTGCCGTGCTGTTCGATTGGCGAATAACGGTTAAAAGACGCACCTCTTATAAGTACACGATTTTGAACAACGCAACAGCAAAAGGAACGAAAAGCAAGCGACGACACAGACTTGCAGTGATTGTTTGGTTGATTGATTGATTGATTGATTGATTGATTGATTGATTGGTTGGTTGGTTGATTAATTGGATTGGATTGATTGGATTGATTGATCAGTTCCAGTATTCGTTATTAGATCCGTTATTCGGTAACCGCCATCAGTTAAAATACGGATGTCGCGCTTCTCAACCGAATTGAAGGTAATTGTTTAACTGCTGCGACTTTATAATTTGAACGTTTTCCACTTGCGGACCCGCAAAACTTTCGAATCACGCTGTTCAATTTGAGTACTGCACTTGAACATATATATATATACATACACACACACAGACACACATATATATACATATATATACATATATATATACATATATATGCAATAATTGTGCATACATATATATAAGGGATACCGTCTCGGATAACTCGCGTTGTGATTTTTGGAAAAATAAGATCAAAAGTTGAATACAAAATTGTGTGTTTTTTATTGTCGAGTTGTGTAGAAGGTATACAAAATATGGATGCCAAATGTCTCCGACATTTCTAAAGGTCAACACGTCTAACGCCCTGGCTACTATGTTTTTCACACTGTCTTTGGCGCGATTCCGCCAAAGCCTACTATATCAATAACCATACATATACATACATACATATATGTATATGTATGTATGTGTGTAGAGTATGCCTGTGCTTGTTTCTGTTATCGGTTCGGTGGTTATGGTTATGGCTGAGTACCGTTGTCCCTCAGGACGCATCATTCACATGTTGGGCATATTGACACGCGGATCTGGTTAGCGTACGCTGCATTTTAAACAAATTCAATGCAATTCACATTTATTTATTTGATTTATCAATAATGGTAGGGCAGAGGACAAAAAAAACTTAAACTAAATGAAATTTACATACATGTCTTACATATAAGAAATGGCATTTTTGAACTGTTTGTTTTGCTTAAGCCTAATACTGAATTCTACAATATGGCCACACTGTGATGGATCATTTAAATAGTATATGTAACTATTGGATCTAAGATAGTGTGCTGCTGCTGCTCACTCTCAAAGCGGGACGACAGATTAGAATGGGAGAAAAAAACGAGACGAGCGAAAGAAGTCATCAATGTGAATGATATGAACTTGGACTGGTTGGCCCAGTGTAAGTCGCCGACAGGTTGCTATCAATAAATATTTTTGATGCTTAGTTTTCAATAACAAACAGGAGCAGGGGTAGCCGATTTGCCGCCACCTGGCAACCTCCCGCACACAACATAGAGCGAGTACGAGAGAGAGTAGACAGAGAGAAAGAGAGAGAGCGAGCGAGCAAGCGAACGAATAAGAACAGCCGGTGAGTAAATTCTGTTGATCGGGTTGCTGATGGTAACGGTAATACACACAACTTATTGTTAATATCATATATGTATATTCATATCCATGGTGATCGGTTGCGGTGTATTTTACATATTGTGTGCATGTCAATTTTATTATTGTGTCTGCTTAATGGTATAGAATGGGGCGGGGGGAGGGGGGAGAGAAGCGACATACAAGAGGATATCTTAAGCGCGTTAAAAACATAATATAAGCATGCACTAATATTTAAGTATGCAGCGTTTATCAATTAGTTGATAACTTTCTTGTGTGTTTGTTTCTTTTTTTTCGTTGTTGTTGTTTGCGGTTTCTTCTTTTGTCATTGCTGCTGCATCTTCTGCTGCTGATAGAGCAGCTGAAGCTGTTGTTGTTGTTGCTGCTGCTGCTGCTGAAGTTGTTGTTGTTGCTGCTGTTGAAGTTGTTGTTGTTGTTGTTGTTGTTGTAGTTGTAAGTTTTGCTGTTGCAATTGCTGTTGCTGCTGCTGCTGTTTCTGCTGATGCAGCTGCTGGAAATGCTGCTGCTGCTGCTGCACCTGCTGGTAGTGCGCCTGTCGCCGCTTCTGCTTCTCGAGCTCGGCAAAATGTTCCTGCTGCTTGCGCACCAGCTCGTCCATTACCTCGTGATTGTAGGTGGAGTGCAGCATCAGGCCAAGTAAATTGGCACGCGAGCTGAGCTGTTGCCGCAGCTGGCGTTCCTGTTCCATCAGGTCATCCATTTTGAGCCATTGACGCACACGCTCCAGATCGATTTCGGCCCTGCGTATCTTCTCCCAGGCATAGTGCTTGAAGCAATTCTTTTTGGGTGCACGACAAAATTCACCGGTGGGATTGAAAACATTGTGCACAAGCGGCGCACCGCACACATCCGTATCGCTAACCTTGGGATCCTTGCTGTGCTCCGGGCAGAGAACGCGCAAGCGCTTGCAATACGTTTTGCTGGCCGGATTATAAAAGTCACAGAACATATTATTGCCCTCCATGCGGGTCTGAAAGATGCTGCCAAAACTGGCCTGCGATTCATATTTGTTGAAGCACTTTTCCATGTGCTTGATGGCGGTGCGTGAGTGTATCTCATGGCCGCATGTAATGCAGTACATGCTCTGCTCGTCCTCCACATCGCCGTTGTCCTGCGGCCGTTGTGTATCTATGGAACTGCGTTTTGCACGGTCCACCACCATGTTGAGCTCCTCGGCGCGCTTTTCCAGCTCGGCGAGTGCAAAGCGCACCATAGACTGCTTTTGTCTGATGACTTCCAGCTGTTCGCGATTCTCCTCGGCTGCATGGCAGGGCGTCAAGTTCCATTCCTGCAGACGCTGCGGCAGCACCTGGAATATACGATTCGTAGCGAGATTGAAGCCGCACTTGTCGCTGCAGTATTTACTTTGCGGTCGGGCCTGACAACGGCAGCTCGGTCCATGACACTGTCGCAAACCCTCCAGCTCTGGATGCACAAATATCTCTGGACTGTCGGAGCGCAAAACTTTGCTTTTGCGCTGCTGCTGCTGCTGCTGGATAACGTTGCCCTTTTCCCGCTTGCGACCTGTCGCCGCCACTGGTTGAGCCGGGTGGCCAGTCTGCATTACACAGTTGCGATAAATGCAGCGCGGCTTGTGGCCAACCCGTGTGCGACAGGCGTCGCACTGATTGCAGTTGGGTCGCCGGCAACCTTCGCATGTGCCGCACCGTCTGGCTGCCTTCGTTTCTTTGGCCAAGCTATTGTTTTTGCGACCAGTTCCGCCCGCACCCCCACTGGTGCCCGCCGATGTGCCAGCAGCCGCTTGGCCAGCAAGTGAGCCAGACGCATTTGTGGCTCCATATCCGCTGTGGGCGCCACCTGTTGATGCAGCTGCCGTGGCGGCCGCACGCTCGGTGGCCACCAGACGGAATATGGTCTGCAGCTCCGGATTCTCCTTTTTGCATCTGCGGCAATAATATTGCTTAATGTGCTTGGCCTCCTTTTCGGTGATGCCAATGCAGTCGCCATGATACCATTCCTCGCAGCCGTCGCAGCCACTGAAAAAGTGTTCAATTAGTCGCAATTGATTGACAACAATTGTCAAGTAGCTATATTACAACTTACATCATGAATCTGGAGCAGTCGGATGTGCGACATATGCAGTAGGCCTGATCATCTTGCTTGAGTATTGTTGCTATTTTGGATTTGCGCTCGGGCAGATCGAATTCGCGGGCGATTTCCTCTTTCTACAGATACAGATAAAGATTTGTGTTATGCCCACTTACATTATGGTTATTCAGTTTTTGTTATGTTCCATTTACCGATCTCTTGTATTTGCGTTTATCCGCCATAATTGTGAAGGACACAGCCAGCGCCACCCACAAACAACAGCTATGTGATATGAATTGTTATTAATGTATCGATATATCGCCAATGACGTCTTTTGTTTTCGATAACGTGGTCGTGTCAATATTAAAAGGGCGCTGCAATTATAAAAATCGACTTACACCTCTTTTTTTAAAGCGAAATTTAGTATATTTTATCTACTACATTTTTGTATATTCTTTTATGTAATTAACAGAAATAGTCATTTTTTATAGAAACATGAGGTAAATAATGGCAGTTTGACTATTTAATATTTCAACATATTGTATTAAACATTTCCTTAATTATTAACATAAAATGCAATTACAAATGTCGGCGTTGCCAGTCAGGCTCAATTCAAACAATTCGTGGAAGCCCGTTTTACCAACATTTTGCGGCGATATTTAGTTTTTGGTATTTTTCACTTTTGTGATTTAGACGCATACGATTTGCGGTCATACCAATCTCTGAACTTGGTGCAAATTTTATTGCTTATAAATAATAAACAAAAAAAAAACAACTGGAATAGCATGGGCGTGACTGTGCTACAACCATATCCACTGCCTGAGGGCAAATCTGGTTCCCACATCATGGATCACCTGGGCAAGCGCCTGCTCTCACTGGGCGCGACACATGCCGGCCAGTTTTTGGTGGACTGCGAAACTTTTATCTCAACGCCACAGCACGGAACCCCGACCCGGGCCGTACATGTGCTGCACAACTCCGAATATCCAGCTTCAACATTCTCCATAATTGACAATGGCACTGGCAAACAAGTGGCCCTTGTCGCTGACAGCATATTTGATTTGCTAATGCTAAAAATGACCTCCACATTTACTTCAAAGAAACAAACGAAAATTGAGTCGCGCGGCGCTCGCTTTGAGTATGGCGACTTTGTAATTAAGCTCGGCTCCGTTACCATGATGGAGCACTTTAAAGGCATACTCATTGAGATCGAGTATAGGCCTTGCATAACGCTTTCCTATTGCTGGGAAATGATACGCGAAATGCTGCAGGGCTTCCTCGGCATCAGTGTGGCCAAAGAGTATCCCACCTATTTCACCACACAGACAATCATGAATGCAATGGGTCAGCAGCAGCTGCACGCCAAGCAGAATGACATCTACGAACCGATGGACACGGTTAAACAGTATCTGGAGCACTTTACCAACTATCGCAAGCATGTCCAGCTGCACGGCACTCTGGCCAGTGCGGCCGGGTCTATCGGCTCTGTGATGATGCCCTCTACGGTTGGCATGGGGCGCTCTTGATGCGAGGTGAAGCTGGAGCCGCCAGATGCCACCTAAGCCACTAGCAGGAGAACCAGCCCCGTTTTGAATAAGCAAAAACTCAACTGAAATTTTAATAATTTTTTGTTTCTTTTTTATTATTATTTTGTATGTATTTTTAACACAATAGTTGTATATAATATATATAATATATATATATGTATGTGTATATGTATGGTAGTAATATCTTAAATTATGCGTATATGCAAGTTGCTCTCGCACGACTATTTTTGCAAAGTACAGTTGCGTCCAATGCGCTTAGAATGTAAGAAAAAAAATATATAATAAAAAAAATTCGCAATTTCGGATTCTCGTCAGGCAAAGCAAAAAACATTTCTACAAAGAAAAACTGTACGAAAATGCTTCCAATTACTTGCAAACTGTTATACAAATACAAAAAATTACAAAAAAAAAAAAAAAAACATGCAAGCTTGTTTTATAAAAATGTGCATAAAATATATGTATTTATTCAAAGTATGCGAGCGAAAAAAAAAAAAAATATGCATATAGTTCGTATGTTTTTAATGATAATATAATTTGTAAGGATGCGTCTTCTCACAACAAGACATGTTTAATGGTTTTTATACTTAAAAATAAGAAACTGGTGTTGCAAGTTTTATTATTGCTGCAATCGTATTAGTTTTGTTTTTGTTTGTGTGTGTGTGTGTGTGTGAGAGAAAAATACAATAATAAATGGCGACCAAATATTAACGAACTGCTAATTTTGTGATACAAAGTTAAAACATTTCGAACGAATATGGAATTTAAATTGGTGTTTTTTAAGGTTATAATTACGCAGTTTGTTATTCATTTTTTTTTCTTTCTCGTTTTGCATGAAAACCTTAAACATAACACAATAATCGTAATATAATCTTCTGTAACTTCCATTTTTTTTTTAGTTTTTTTTATGGTTTGTATAGATCTCTTAAACTTAGTTGTATATCATAATAAATTGTAGTTGCGTGTTATACATATGTCTAGTAATAATAACGGTGTCTGTGTGTGGATGTGTGAGTGTGTGTATAACAGTTCCGTATAAGTAAATATGTTTCCAGATGCTTACTGCTGCAGCTGCGCCTGCGACGAAATTCGCTCTCATCAGCATTTTTTGCGCTCTCTCTTTCTCTACACCTCCTTCTCTCTTGCTCACTTGTTGTAAGTTTTGTGTGTCTGTCTATGGGTTTGCGTGTGTGTGAGTGTATGTATTGCTTTTGCTGTTTCCGTTGTTGTCGTTGTTTTTTTTTTTTTTTATATTCATTTTGTTGTTTTTGCCGCTGCTTTGCTTTGTTTTGTTTTTCTTTACAAATATTTTAAAATAATTTTATGTTTATATGAAGATATATATGTGTAAGTATGCATATGTATATATTACTCATATAGTTTAAACGGAGATCAATTTCCGATTGATTGTTGTTATTTGTTTGTAGTGTTCTTCTTTTGTTTTTTTTTCTCTTTTTTTTTTTTTTTTTTATCCATGTCCTCTCTGTGTTCGTCCATGTGCAACAACAACAAAATAAACAACTTTTGCTTTTTTTTGCTGCTTTTGCTTCCATTTGTTCTCTCTCCTAACGTTTCATGGTGTTTACGGTTGTTGCTGTTGTTGCTCGCACGCTTCTCGGTGTTGTTGTAGCTTTTGTGATATTGTTGTTGTGTCTCTTTGTTTTGTTTTCATTTGCTTTTTGTTGTTGCTGCTGCGGAATCAATCAATCCTCGCTCCTTAGTCGCGTAAGGGCAAAGTGGCCGGCTTAACGTGTCCGCCGTCGCCCTCAGATACAAAACGTTTGCGTCCACTGCAAGTAGAAGAAACAGAAGAAACATAAATAAATATTAAATAGAAACAAGCCAAAAAACAAGAAAAACTTGTTTGTGCAATTGTGCTCAACTAAAAAACTAATATAGCACACCAATATTCATTTCTTCTCCTTACTCTTTGAACCTCAGCTTAATACTTAAAAACTGTATTGTAAAGTGAATTAATTAATCGATTTTGAGATCAGCTATCGATAAATTGAAAGCAAACTTAATCGAATCGTTTAGGCAGATGAACGGTCAGACTGGCAATCGGCCATGGCTGAATAGACTTGGCTTTTCCTTTATGGATACGGAGATCTCTTCATATGTTAAATATATTTTTTAAAAAACCGTCTGGTTTACAGACAATACTTCATGGAAAAGTAAACCTATTAAATCTGTTATATGTACATATGTTCAAATATTTTATACTATCATATATACATTCACATATGAGTGCAATGCCATAAAAGCAAAACACACGCATTATGCAATGTCAAAAACCATTAGAAAAAAAATACCAGAACAACATTACGAAAATACAATTTGCGAATTTGGCAAGCGAGATAAAAAGAAAAAAAAAAGAAAAAACTAAATACTACGAAAAACCAAAAAAGAAATCTTGACGCTTTACTCGAATTTGCAGCAGAGTTCATTCAACCGTTGACCCTTTTTCTCTCCTCTCTGAACGAAAAAGTGCAGCGCGACAGAACAGCTGTGCGACAACTAGCTAGTGTGGGCATGTGCGTGTGTGTGTGTGTGTGTTGGTGTGGGAGGAGGAGGGGGGCAGCTAAGGGAAGCAGAACTGCAACTCGAAACTAGTTTCACTGCGTGCAGCACAAGTCACTGAGTTTATCTGAAAAGCCGAACAGGCCAGTATCAAATGTTAACCTACATCAACTTCAAAGCTTTATTTGTGCATAATACAGTGCCGGGCAAAAAGTTCGGACAACCACTTTTGCACTGTTTACAACAAGGTATGACTGAGGCATATGATATTATTATTATTAATTAAAGAGACAAGGTGCACTTTTATGTACATAAACTTAAATTGGCACTAGAAATGAAAAGAAGTATAAATATTTCAGCATATGACCATTTGTTCTGTCCGTTTATTTGTGCCCGCTACTGTATTTATGCAATTTTCATACATACATATTCATAAATATATAGGAATAGAGCAGATTCATTTAGGGGGCGGAGGATCGACTGTGGGGAAGGTTAACGTTTCTGGACAATAGTGTGGCAGATAGGAGGAACAACAAGTATACACTTTCAGGCAAACATTGATCACGATGTAATACCCTATAATCATCATCATCATTTAATTAACTAACAAACTTCTTAATCTCTTTTTCCATTTAGAAACAAGAGCAAAGCCAAAGAAAACTAAAAAATAAAGCATATTAAGTGCAGTAATATGTACATATTTAACTGTTATCAATAAACTTCAAACAGCTAATTAGAGGGCAGGTCATATCGCAAGCATTTCAGGTCGAATCTAATAAGTTACATTAAAGATATCTTCTTTAATCTTCAATTAAAACTTTTCTATTCTCTTACTGCAGTCATATTATTATGTGTGTATACAACCCCAAAGCGTGACATTTATAGGGTATTGAGGGCCACGTTGTCGCGTCTGTGCTTATGTATGTGTATGTGTGTGTGCGTGTGTGTGTGTGCATGTGTAAAGTGAACGCTTCTGTTGTAGTAGTTGGTGTTTTTGTTGTGACTATGTTAAGTGCCAAAGAGCAACAGCCGCAGCCAAGGCGAATGCAAAATGCAGTTACAACAACAACAACAACAACAACAGCAACAGCAACAGCTAAGCTTACAGCAACCTCAACTGCAACAACAACAACTGTGCATAGGCCGACGACTGTCTGCTGGTAACTGCACTTAGTTGTTGTTGTTGTTGCTGTTGCTGTTGTTGTTGTTGTTTTGTGGGTGTGGCGGAGCAGGTCGATAACAGCAGCAACTGCAACTGCAATGGCAACGGCAGTCGCTGAGCCGCCATTTTTACCTTCTCCGCGGCACTCACGATCTTGAGCCACATGCAGGTTGTTGCACCATCAACACTAACAACGCCACCCAACGAATTACAACAACGACAACAACAGCCCCAGCAATAACAACAACTACTTGTAACATCAATGCCAACTTCGTTAGCTAGGTAGGTGCGCCCAGTGATACGCAATCGATAAGCATTATCGATATATATATATATATATATACAGTACATGTTGGACTGGAAAATTATAAATAAATTGAAAGCGAGTAAAATAAATTGTACAGGTGGTGTGGTAAATAAACAGCGGTATCCACAATCTTAGAAAACCCAATAATAAATAAAAACTGTTGGGACTTTTAGCACACCGACAATTGATTACTCTTCATATACGATCAGCTGACATTTGGCAAACGCATGCAGGCAAATAACGCCATCGATTTGAGTATTTCTAGACAGGTTTAGAGAATTTCTTAAGTTAAGTTAAAGCTGCTTTTTAACATACCATAAAAAAAAATAAGCCATTCCTAACTGGAAACGCTTTGGATAAGTTTGGACACAATTTTGCCAGACACTCATTCAAATCAGCCAAATATCTGACGAAATCGCAATTCTTTTCTGAAAGGGTATGGCACTACAATACATACATATGTATCTACACATGTACATGTTAATATGTAACATATCTATGTATATATAAACTCATTGAAATAACAGTATACATACATACATGCATATGTAGTTAACCGGCGCCTGATAAACCGGCCTCACAAACGACGCCTGCGACTGCCCCAATCTAACGCCGACGCTGACGGCAACCGAGACGACGACGCGTCACCGCAAAAACCAAACTGCGCAATAGAAATTTCATAAACAAACAGTCGCATACATAGAGACACACATGCACACATGCACACACACACATACACACAGGGAGGCAGGCACACACAAATACAAGCAAAGACACACGCACCATATAAAATTGAGAAAATGAGCCAAAGCAAAAGGAGAAGAAAAACAGCACGAACTACATAAGAACGACGCGACGGCCGACACACAAAATAATAAACAACAAGAAGGGGGAGCCGCAAAATGCCGGCAAAAAATCAAAAACAAGTTGATGGGGTGCTTAATGTACATATATACATACACACATACATATGTATATACATACGAGATACGCACATATGTATTTTTGTATATACATATACAAACATACATATGTATAAAGCACAGAACGATAATAAAAACACAAGAAAAAATAATGGGCTATATATTGTTGACGGGGGAGCCTCTGACTGACAAGATTACGTAAAAGCGTATTGTTTTTATTTTTATTGGTCTGACTGCTGTTAAATGTTGTTGCTGTTTTTGTTGTGTTTGTGGTTCACAGGTGGGCCTGAACAGTGGGCCGGGTTAACTAACACAAGCAACGCAAACACAAACAGCAGCAATGTATTTTGGCATGCCGATCGCACATATATATACATACATATGTATTTACACATTTTCTCAACATATTAACGAAGTGGTTCTATAAAGGGGAGTAGGTGGGCGGTTCAGTTACAACACTTACCGCGATGGCACATTATTGATAATCTTGTCGGTTAGAAAGCCGGCACGATTACAGCGCTCCACAAATCGATCGAGTATTATATACGCCAATGGCACGTCCAGCACGATGTCCGCCATGTCATCGTAGACCCGCATGAAGCCCTGCAAGCAAACCCAACAACAATAATAGGTATATAATGTATGTTTATAATAATGAAAGTGAAAGTTTATTTTGCATTCTGTTACTACGATTCTGTGGCTGTGTTTAGAAAATTTAATGCGCGGTTTCCCATTCCCTGGCACTGCTACATACATACATATAATATTTGCAATTTTGGCAAAACGGACTAACTCAATAGTTTAAGCAATCTGGCAACACTGAACAACTGGAAATGTGCATTTTGTTGGCTACTCCTTATTGTGACGTCAGTTATAACTCTCGTTAAAGTTATCGAAATCAAAATGCGATAATTTATACAATCTGGCAACACTAAACAAATCAAAATATACAGTTTGTTAGCTATTCCTTATTGTGACGTCAGCTATGGGTCTCAATAAAGTTATCGAAATCAAATTGCTATATTTAACTCTGGGCAAAACATGTTTTTTACCACTGTGCCTTGTACATTGAGCTTGCTACATTTTAGACTCACATACGATATATGTACATATGTATATATTTATATTTGAAAAGTTTATTTTTTTTTTTTTTTTTGGTATTTGTCCAAAGAGGTCACCGGTCAACGATTGACGACTGTTCAATGCAATATTGTAAAATAATTATATTGAATTGTGAACTGACCTGCTCCATGCCAGCTGGCAGAACCAGACACGTTAGATCCAGCGATTTGAGCAGCTCGCACATGGCCTCCTCGGTGGTCTGGCTCAAGGACTCGAGTGTCATAACAATGGCCTCGTAGACAAGCTCATGATGATAGTGGGGCACCTCGAGGGCGCGAAGACAGCGTTGCGCCTCGGAAACGTCACGGGAGGACAGATACTCTTTGAGCAGGAGCGTCATCTGCTTGGTAATGGTCTTCACCGGTCGCAGGGGACCGCCCATGCCCCAAACATTGTCCAGATGGGCCCACACCTGCTTGTGGAGCAGGGCGTCGGCACGGCGAAGCGCCTGCTCGGCATGCTCGTTCAGCTGCTGGTGTTCCTCGGGTCGGCTAACAAACTTGGGCGGCATGCAATCATCGGCAATTGCCCGGGCCATAAAGTTGCCCAGCAAGACTGGCGCCTCCGGTGTGTCCAGTATGAGATCGGGCAGATTGGCCAGCACCATGTTGAAGCCCTTCTCGATGTCCTTGCCAGTGATGACGCGGCCATAGAGATCGGAAATCAACACCGAGGTCATCTCCCGCTGCGAGTCCTTGTGATCCATTGCAATCTCAACCAGAATGCTGGTGATATGCTCACGCAACGGACTCTGCAATATCTCATCGAAACTGACAGCCACCTCATGCGTATCCCCGTGCTCATAGTATTCGAGCACAATGGGCTCGGCCAGCTTGAAGAACTCCTCGGGAGTGAGTTCGGTGATTACCTCGCGCAGCTCCACATTCCGATCGTTGACCTCGCTGTCATAGTTGGGATCATTTTCGTCCTCGTAAACCTCGGCCAGAGCCTCCGAGCCGGGCAATCCCCATACACCTTTACCGCCGGCCCCACCTTTCTTGGGCAGACCGCGACCACGCGTCAAATTCCGGGATCTTCGGCTATTCTTCCAGCGACGATGCGGCACCACATAGCCTGTGCCAGCTGGCAACATGCCGTTGGCCAGCGATGAAAGCGTCGAGTTGGCGGCAGCTGGAGCAGCACCAGCCCCAACAGCAGCAGCGACGCCATTGGTCAGCGCTGTGGCTGAGGTGCCACTGCCGCTGCCGCCGCTGCCGCTGTTTTGTCTTTGGATGAGGCGTTTGGCCTTGCGTTTGATGCGCCCATCGTGACCATCGCCCACAGGCAGCGGCTTCTTAATGAGCCCGCCTAGATGGCCATTGGAGGAGCTACCGTTCAACTCCACCGCCTCAATTTCGCCATTAAGCTCTCGTTCCACGGAGCTTTCCTTTGAGTCGGAGCCACCGTCGTTGGCGGAGACGTCCCCGTTGGCTTTCTTATTAATATTGGACTCTAACTCCATACTGTTGGTATCTATCTCTCTCTCTCTCTCTCTCTCTCCCTCGCTCTCTTTATCTGTTCTCTCTCTCTCTCTCTCTGACCCTCTCTCGACTCTCTTTTACACTATATGTACGTTCGGATCTTCCTTTGGTTTACTCCCTTTCTGCCTCTCTCTTGCTCTTCTCACTGCTGCTCCTAGTTGGAGTGCACAACAACAGTTAGAGTAAGAAACACAGTTGCCTCTCTTTCAACCTTTATTTCTGTCTCTCTCTCTCTCTCTATCTCTTTTTCAATATTTCTCTTTGATTTTCAGAGTTCTGTTAGTCGGCTGATTGTACTGTGTGACCAGGTGCTACACTTTCCTTGTGTTCCTTGTTGTGTTCGCCTACTTCCGTTATGATCGGCTGTTGTGAAACATAAATACAAATAAATCAAGAAATATTAGTCGTCGCCTGCTAAATTTAAAAATATATCTATATATAAGAAATATATAAGTGGTATCAATAGATTATCAATAGTAACTATGTACATATATATATATATATATTTATATATATATATGTATAAATAATTAAAAACGCACAAAGTATCAGTTATCGGAATAGCCATGACAATTTGAAAACCCTAATTAATTTTTTGATAGTCAAAAGCATTTTAATCGGAAATGAAAATTATTTGATAATCGCATCGTTCGAGTACATTCTAAAAGAGATTAACGGACCTTTTGTATCATTCATAATTCGCCAATTCTTGTAAAAGGTCTCCACCTATTCAAAATTTTATATATTTTTATATATATGTATATACACACACCTACATATAAATTAACAAATGTTTACATGTTTGTTGTTGTTTGTTTTTTCATAAGCACAACAGGCGACTGACTAGACTAGAAAAGTATGGCAATAGCGATACGGCGGCGGTCACATAAAAACTATAAATAAACGCATATTTTCACATACATACATTCATACATATTTGTTTTTGTTTTGTTTCTTTTTGTTATTATATTCGTTTGTATGTGCCGTTATTCATGCAAAGAAACTGCTAAATGGAATATGCCTATAAAGCAATAATAATAATATAATTGAAAGCTAGAGCAACTTGTAAAATGTGTGCACATACATACGCATACATATATCTATAATTATATATATGTAGAAAATATGTATGTATGTATGTGTGTTATACAAATACCACGTACTCTGCCCAGCGCCGCTTAATATATGTATGTATGTATGGAGGCGTGTTCTCACATGCAAATACATTCGTACATATACAGACAATGCAAGAGACGCATGAGACTCCCTTAGCTCCCTGGGCAATTTCAAGGTCACACACACATATCAAGCAAAGCTGCTGCCGTTAGCTTTGCAACCCTCGCTGTTGACTAACATTATTGCCATCTCGCTTGCTTCCAATAGGTGAACTTTAAACGAAGTTGTCACATAAACATATGCATGCAGATTTGTGCTATGTGCTTGTCTCTTTATATGTACATACATATATCGATTTACATGTGTACAACAAACGTAAGAGCTGCACCGTTTCTTTGATTTTGTCGTATTACTTTATGCAAGCCCTTACACATGTACAGCATTAACATAAATACATACACATACATCTGTATATACATAATACACTGTTATTGCGTCGCTTGTCCCTCTTTTTCCTTATGATGGACATATATACATACATATGTATGTATATTGACAGCACACACACACACACACACACGCGAATGGATTGTATGCTGTAACCGGTTTTATGTTTGTTTTGCCCGGTTTAACCTTGAAATTTATTCCCCTTACAAACTTTCTATGTATTGGCGCATTGCGTTGTTGTTATTGCTACTGTTTCGCACTTGTTGTGCCCCCCACCGAACCGCAAGACAGCGGGCGTGCCCAATACAATTTTTGGCAATGTTTATAACATAAATGCGTGTGTACATATGTATGTGCTATCTATACATACACACATATATACATTTATATGTATGTGTGATTTGCTGTTGTTTTGGTGCGTGCTTGTAATTGTTTTCAAAATTCTCTGCAGAAAGCATAAAACGACGCTACGCAGAAATTGCGTCGCAAAAAATTGAGACGGCTGCAAAAGCAGCAGGAACAACCACGATGCATGCTGCATGCAAATACACATACATACATATGTACATGCATACATACACATTCATTTACTCTTCATCCATAGTGGAAGAGCGTTTATTATTATTTGTCATTTATGAATTACATACATACATACATATGTATGTATATATAAATAGTCTTAGGCAGTACTTGTCAGAGTATCAATAACAAAAAATGTAAACATCAGGCCGAATACCAAGATTTCAATTAATATGCTGCTTCTTGTTAATTAACAAAACAAAAAAAAAAAAGGAACTCCAACATTTCCAGTGTTCTTTATATGTAACTATAGAAATATGTATATGTATGCATAAACAACATGAGATGTACAAAATCAAATTTACGACAGTGGCAACGCCAAAAGCAGCGAAAAGCGCATGGAAATGTGGAATGAGCCGAAAGTTCGCCGAATAAAATTACAGCGAGCATAAGAAGAGGAAGAAGAAAAACAAGTTGGCGCGCATGTTTGTATTCTCTGGCCGCCCTCTCTCATGATGCGTGAATCTGTTTGACTGTGTGCGTGCATGCCGGCCGAATTTATCACGTACGCCACGCCGCATACAACAGTCAAATGTTGCGACCCCTAACAATTCAAAATTTTGAAGCTACGAATTTTGGCTTCAATTGGAAATTGATACACTGACATAGGTTAGTTAACCGTATGAACACGAAGCGCGTTTAGCTTACTGCTGCTGTTATATGTACATACATATATGCATGTATATGTACATATACATATGTATGCATGTGCAAGTAATTGCTTTTTATTTTAAGCTTATTTTCGTGTTTGCTTTGTGGCACTTGCCGGTAAATGCCGGTTTTATTTGTTTGTATTTAACATAATTTTCATTATGTATTTAGAAATGTACATATATTTATATATATATATATATATATCCAGATGGGCCTTTATTCTTTACTTACCTCAGCGTGTATACTTTTTGATTGCGTTTTGTGCTCTTGTCCGTTTGCGGCCTTACACTCGCGGCGACAACAACAAAAACAACGTCGACGCTGGGCTAAATGCAGCTACGTCGACGGCGATGTTGGCGCGCTGCAATTGCTGGAGCCTGTTTTGTTTTTGTTTGGCAACTTGCTTTTGACGTTGAGATTCGTCTGTATATAGGGGGGGGGTTTTATGTGTATGCGAATGTGTGTTCTCTGCTACGCGTGTGTTAGTTCGCAATAGAATGCACACAAAATGCAATTGCAAAATAACTTTAGATGTATATGTTTCTTTTTATTTTCAACCATTCACTTTCAATGTAAATAACTTGCAAAAAATATCGTAAAATCACCGATGCGACGGCGTTTATAGCAAAATATGCCTATCAAACACCCTCCCAGTTAAGAAATTGGAGCCTGCAATGCACTTATACACACATACGTTCGTATGTATGAAAGGGCTTGATTAGCGCGCTGCAGTTCGTGTTCCAATTCAAGTTTCTTTCACAATTCAATATTTGTGTTTTTGTTCAACTTATTGGGCAAGTTGTATATAAACTTTTAGTAAAGCTGTAGCAAAATTGAATTTTTAAATGTTAAAAGGTGATTGGTAAATAAGATTTCAAATATCCGTAACGAAGCGAACACGACGAAAATTCCACTGAGAGTAACATCTGTTGGTCAGTGTGTCTGAAAGTTGATATCGAAGGTAAACAGATTGGTATTACGAAAATAAACTAAAAATACTAAAATAGGGGCAGATATGTAAAAATACCAGAAGTGGCCACACTGTTTTTGGTGTTGCCACATGTGGAAACACGCGCGCAAAGCCACAATTTGTAATGTGCGTAATGCTGCATATTGTTCACTACCTCCAAAACCAGCTTAAATAAATCCAGTTTAACATATATTTAAAAGTAAAACTTAATATTTTTACCATCGTTTTGGGGTCACCCATACATTAATAATTATCTTCATACTTAAACTAAATTATGAATCATTTAAATTTATTCAAACGGATGCGTTCGCTGTTGCGAAAGTCTCGGCGCTGAGACGCAGAACCACCGTGCATATAACGAATAACTGGGTTCCTTACACAATAGGCTTGTGGATCATAAGTAGGAACTGGTGGCTCCTCATCCCAGTTTTCACTCGAATCGACGACATCAGTCGCTGGGGCACGTGGTTCTGTTGGCGGCAACATGTCGGCATGTTTGAAGCGAGCATAAACCTTACGAAACTCACAGCTAGCTACATGTTCCTGTAATTAGTGTCAATGGCTTTGTATGGAATTATATTTTTATTACAGCCATGATAATACTTACCTGTAATTCATCGGGCTTCAGCATATGGGTGGTGTTGAACGGACAGCGGACCAATTTAATACTAGAATTATTTCTAGCACAACGGATTAAGTGTAAGGCCAAACGGGAAGGCAATATGCGATGAACTTTGTCGTAAGGACAAACGACATAGTTATCGTCTTGATCTTGAAGATCAGCACTCAGTTCCGACAGTGCACTTTGCATATCACTTTTAGCCGCACGGTCCGACATGATTATTGGAAATTAATTGCGAAATAAAAAATTGCCGCTCAAGTAACGGGTACAATTTCGTCTAGAGATGAACGAATAGTGAAGTCACGATTTTCAATTGCATATGCAAATATCAATAGTAAATTACAGAGTTGCATTTCACTCGATCTATCGATGAGATGGTTATTGAGAGTGTGACATCTCTATTGTTTACAATTTGGACGCACGTGCAAACACGACGAACAGTTTGATTCAATTTTTGTGTATATACAAATTATTAACAAATATGCCGCCTGTTGCACAAGAAGGCAATTGCCTTATATATCGCGGCAGCAACTTTTTGAAGCAGCGTCTTGTGCTGTCCTGTCTGAGCGGCAAGCCAGTTAAAATTACACAAATTCGCGCCGAGGACGAACAGGCGCCCGGTTTGCGCGAATACGAGATCAGTCTGATACGTTTGCTTGACAAACTTACCAATGGCACCAAAATTGAGCTAAATCCTGCTGGTACCAGTGTCATGTTCAGTCCTGGCCTGCTGCATGGCGGTCAATTGCACCACGATTGCTGTGTGCAGCGCGGCATTGGCTACTTTTTGGATGCTCTAATTGCACTGGGACCCTTTTGCAAGATGCCGCTGCAGTGTACGCTGCGTGGGGTAACCAACAGCAAAGATTCGCCATCGGTGGATCATATTAAAGGTGCTGGTCTGTCGCTCTTGAAACGTTTTCTGTTGGTCGACGAGGGTCTGGACTTGCGTGTCGTTCGTCGTGGCGTTGCTCCACTGGGCGGCGGTGAGGTAATCTTTAGCTGCCCCGTGCGCAAGAGCCTGCGCGCCATACAATTCCAGCAGCAGGGCATGGTCAAACGTATTCGCGGCACTGTGTACGCCTGCAAGGTATCACCGGCAATGGCCAATCGCACCGTGGAGTCGGCAAAGGGTTGTATGCTAAAGTTTCTGCCTGATGTTTATATTTATACGGATCAAAATCGAGGAAAAATGTCTGGAAATTCGCCAGGATTTGGCATCTGCCTGCTGGCAGAGACAACAGATGGTGTTTGCTTTGCCGCTGATTGCATCTCCAACACCAGGGAAGAGTCGGTAAGTATTTATTTACCCAATTCGCATCACCATCTTTACTAATGCCAGCTTCTTTGTCTTGCAGGACTCGCCAGCCATACCGGAAGACATGGGTCGAGACGTTGCCATGCGTCTTCTGGATGAAATCTATCGTGGTGGCTGCTGTGATGCCGCCTACCAATGGCTGGCCGCTCTCTTCATGGCCCTGGGCCAAAAGCACGTCTCCAAATTTTTAACAGGTGCTTTAACCACATGAACACATAGAATTTCTCACTTACGCTTAACAACTGTCCATGTTTCAGGCCCACTATCCACATATACGGTGCACTTTTTACAGCATCTGCGCGACTTTTTCTCAATCACATTTAAGCTGGAGAACCCCGAGACCGATGATGATGAGCAGGATGATATGCGTGGCGCGCAAAAGGTGCTAATGACCTGTGTTGGCATTGGCTACACAAACATCAGTAAGCGTGTTTTGTAGATTTGTTATAGCTTTAATCTAGATACGACTAAATAAACCAATCAATTTATAAATATATTAAATGAACTGATTTACACGAGCATTCCAAATGGATATGGCATATATATAATCTACCAGTGCATGGTTCTAAATGCCAACTAAATGTTTATTTGTGAATATTTGACATCGTGTTTGTTTCATAGATAAAATATTCAAATTATTTGTGTATTCACATCTGATTCAGGTTAAATTCTGTGGCAATTCTTAAGGAAAAGGTTTTTATTTCAAATTATTACTTATTGCTGGCTTAGCATCTGGATTTGCATTAATTATAAAGAAAGTATTTCTACATGTTTATATCGTTCATGCCGAAGATATTCTATCATTCTCAAATGTTATGCAATTTAAACAAAGTACGCTTATTATCATATAAAAAATAGCTGAGGCAAATTAATTTTTGTTTAGACAAGCAAAACGAGTCAAAAGTTAAATGTGCAATTGAATGCATTATCAATATATAGAAATATCAGCGTTATTTTTTATGAATAAAATATGCCGTATTTATCAATGCAGATGTACATATATATAGAAATATTTTAAATGAATGCCCTAAGAAGAAGAAATTACGTTTAATCCCAACTGAAAATGTTGTCGTAGTGCTTATCGGCGGCGACGATAGTCATTAGTTATCGATATATTGTCAATCGAAATCTGGTCACTCTCCTTGCACAACTATGTTGCAGGATGCGTTGCAATTTTGTAATCAGTGGCGATTGCAAACGATTGGCGGGTTCAAAAACCTAAATATGGGTTTCCAAGGGCACCGCGATAAGAACGAGCTTGTTGTATTGTTGCTGTATGGCTTGCAAACTTAAACAGTTTTTGGGTCTGGTTGAGCTTTGCGACACACACGCTTGCCAAGATCAGCAAAAATGCAAATAAGCGACAGCAACAATTTGACACCGACGTCGACTTTGCCGGGGCTATAAAAGGCAAATGTTTGTGGGCAGCAGGTATCAAACGCCGATCAACGTTTGGACACCTTATTCATCTGTAGCTGTTACTTGAAAAGCCTGCATTATGAGCCTGAGACTGTGCCTGCTGGCATGCCTGATTGCGGCCGCCTGTGCCTCCAAGGATCTGCTGAAGCCCACCAAGTGGCTGTCTGCCAATGAGCTGGAGAATGTGCCATCACTGAACGATATCTCCTTTGAGCGTTTGGAGAACATGCCACTGCAAAAGGGCGCCCAGTTGATGGAGAAACTCTGTAGGTGCCTTAAAGCTTACATGCTTTAATCTGGGACTAATTAAATCTCTCGTATACATATATAGATCACATTGCGCACATCAAGCACGATCTGACGCCCAACTTTGTGCCCAGCCCCAGCAACATTCCAGTGAAGATCGTCAAGTCCAATGGCGAGCGTGTCGAGGCCAAGCTGAACAACTATGTGGAGAAGGCCAAGGCTCAGCCCGGTTTCGGTGAAGATGAGGTTACCATTGTGCTGACTGGCTTGCCCCAGACAACGCCCACCATTAAGAAGGCCATGCGCAAGCTGGAGCAGGCTTATCTGCAGCGTTACAATCTGCAGGAGCAGCAGAAGTATGCACAGAACGAACAGAGCCAGAAGAACAAGGAATACGAGACCACATCCAGCGAGGAGTCATCCCAGGAGTGGAAATCAGCCAAAACCACGAGCGGTAATTTGATCGTAAGCATCGATTAACTTGAACATTATTCTGTTTTTGAATTAACAATCCCGTGTCTTATAGATCATCGACTTGGGCGCCACTCTGACCAACTTCAAGCGCTACGCCATGCTCGATGTGGCCAGCACCGGCGCCATGATTGCCCAGACTCTGATTGAACTGACCAACAAGGGTGTGCCCCATGAGATCATCCATGTGATTGGACAGGGTATTGCTGCTCATGTTGCTGGTGCTGCTGGTCAGGAGTTTACCGCTCACACTGGCCACAAGCTGCGTCGCATCTCTGGTCTGGATCCTGCCAAACTTCTGGCGAAGTACCGTGACAACCTTGTTGGTCTGTCGCGCGGCGATGCCGACTTCGTTGATGTCATTCACACATCCAGCCTGGCCATGGGTACACCCATGCGCTGCGGTGATGTTGATTTCTACCCGAACGGACCCATGCAGGGTGTGCCCGGTGCCGAGAATGTCATCGAAGCTGTTATGCGCGCTACCCGTTACTTTGCCGAGTCCGTGCGTCCAGGCAGTGAGCGTAACTTCCCCGCCGTTGCCGCCAACTCGCTGAAGCAGTACAAGGAGAAGGATGGCTTTGGCAAGCGTGCATATATGGGCATCGAGGCCGATTTCGATCTGAAGGGCGATTACATTCTGGAGGTCAACGAGAAGAGCCCCTTCGGCAAGCGTGCTCCTGCCCAGAAACAGATCTCATATCACGGCCTGCGCCATGAGATCTAAGTCACCAACAAACACAACGAAAATGCATTAACAGAAAACAAAACCATATTTACTATATAACAATCAATAAATAAACAGAGCATATTTTCTAAATTGTTGTGCACCCGGTGTGAATATGAGCTGATGTAGCATTAATTATCAAGCTGGCTTGTGATAATCAACAAAAACCTAAATCGAAAACCGTTTAAATGAACATCATGTAAGATCATGTTGCCTTAGCTGCATTTATGAAAATCGCATAGAAAGGCGATAAATGTTGCCTTTTCTATAGCTTAGCAGAGTTGCTCCCTTTTTCAAATTACATCTTATTTCTTTTTAGGTAATCCAGTATGCCACAAGAGATGGAGAGAGAGAGAGACCACAGAAGAGAGCGTGCCGAAACGGTGAGTAGGTTAGAATTAAACTAGATTTTCGCAAGGCAGACATTTCGCTGATGCGGATATACACAAGTATATATTTCCAAGTATCAGGGTCTAATATGTTAAGATATAATGTATTCAGGTATCTAGCTTCAAATCGGAATTGTTTGCGATAGTATTTTTTCTTTTTTTTTAAGTGTAAAAGGGGCTTCCCCATTCTTGTTTATTGCAAAGAGTGGGCAGTTTTGAACTGTCAAGTTAAAGAATATGTTTAAATATGGCCTGCTGTTAAAAGTTATTTGTGATGTCTTAAATTAAGAGACCAGAGATTAGTTAAAATAATGATCAGTTGGTTCCTTTGAAAAAATGTTACGTTTGGTTTGGGATTTATTGTTTGGTCCCGTTTTATTGACATCGTTGGGCAAAGGCCAGTCCACATTGATGTTGCCTCTGTCCGGATCAAAGTCATCCCATTTTCTGATGGGCGGCGACTTCTTATCGAACAAGGATAAGACATTTTTGGCCGCCAACAGATTATCCTTGGCCGTAGAATTGTTACGCTTGATGGGCGCAACGATTCCAAATGATTGTGTGAAACCCCGTGGACGACTGCGTCCCTGACGGCGTTTGACCTTCGAATTTGGCGACATGGAGGCGATAAAATGTTGAGCAGCCGTTGTGGCGGCATCTTTCAGCTCCTGACCCGCCTCCTGTTTGCCCCTATTGTTGCGGCCCATTGCATTTTCATTGGGGCCATGAAACATTGCGCATGGATCCTGAAATCGCGGCATGCCGCCTTCCGGCTGCTTCGACGAGAGCCAGGCATTTATGTTGGCATTTCGATTGTACATTTTCCTCTTGAATCGCGGCGGTATGGCGCCCTCGGGCCCATAGTTCGGATTGTAGAACCGTATACCATATATTGAGGGCATGGCCTGCAATAGAGAAGCGTAATATTCAACTCGGGTCGGCATTCGTAGGCTACTTACGTCGTCCAACGGATCGTAACCATCTTCGGTGTCGACGGTCTCTTCATCGTGCGACACATTTTCCAATGATGGATGCGCCGGATATTCCGGATCTCCGGCTGAATTGAAACTATCCAATGGCGGTTCCAGCAATTCGGTATTATAGAGTGCTCCGTTCACATACACATGTTTGCCACTCGGCTGCCCCGGCTCGAACTGGGACACATTGCCAAAGGGTTCGTTGCACAGCGGGGATCCGGGGTCCGGGCCGCACGGCGGCGGCATAAAATGCATGCTCTGGACATCACCACAGTACGGCTGCTGCATTTGGGCGCACTGCGTCTGCGCCGGCGTCGACGTTGGGGGCATATAGGCGATATTATGCGGCGCATAACCATATGGCGGCTGCACTGCACAGCTCTGGTAGAGATTGGGCTGGCCAGGGCTGAACGATTGCTGCATTAGGCCGCACGGCGCCGGCGGCACAAAGCTCATGCTGGGCGGCTGGCCAATGTTGAACGGTTGGGCATAATTTTGGCTGGCACTCTGCGCATGATTATACAGCTGCCTTATGCCGCCAACTCCGGCCTGCGGATGGAAATTCAAATACGGCTGCTGTGCCTGACCGTTGTGCGGTGGCGCGAAATAATTCATGTTTGGCTGGGCGTAATTAAACGGCGGCTGTCCGGCTCCTTGGCAGCAATGGGCCGGCATATTGGCGGGCATATTTTGCTGCGCATGGGCGTACAGCCACTGCAGAGCGTGCAATTGCAATAGATTGACTCCTTTCGGTTGTTGCGGAGATGTGGAAAGCGGGATTTGGTATTGTGCTTGCATGACAATCGCTCTATTTATTGTTTACCAAAATCTTCTCGAGCTTTGCGCTGGACTTTTGAGGTTAGTTTCGCAAACGAGAAAATATATGTTAGATTTGTTGTTTGTAGAGAAATACAATTGGAAAATCGTGTACTTACGGTTTTAAATGTTGCTGCCGCACTTGTATATTCCTTCCGAATGTCGCGCACAAATTGTTTTTAGACGAAATCTTCAAATACAAGCTGTAATTTTTGTTTTTCTTCCTCTTCGCGTACTTATTTCTTCTGCCGTTTCTTTCAAACAGCACGAATATTCCTCGCGGCACTGTACTCATCTCTATTGTAATCGATTATTAAATTGTCAGCTCTAGGTTAATCGATTTGTACCATCCTTAATATGGGATTAGCGTCGCAGGTTTAAAAGCTGCAAAAAACTATTATTTTTTCGGATTTATCCATGACTTGCAATCAAATTTAACTTTTTTTTCTAAAGCAGTCCCTTGGAAAACATTCAAAAGATTGTATTTTTATACATTTTTCATATATATTTGCCCGCTTTACTGAGAAATTTCATATAGATTTGATCTGTACCCGCAATTGGCATCTACCATATAAAAACACGTTTATAAGATACAGTTTTGCTTTATATGAGGTGCGTAGTAAAGCTAGTTATAAAACTATATATATATATAAGCCTTATGGGGTCGGACGAGGAAGCAGTTATTTCGAAAAAAAGCTACTTTTTAAAATTCGATTTCAAAGGAAAACGGAATGAAACAGAATTTCTTGTTCGATATATCGATATAAGCATCGGGCTCAGAATATCGATATGTTCGATATGAATTACTCAAAGGGAATAGAACAACAAGAAAAACAAATTGCAGCACAAAATAGAACTGTTTGTATAAATTAATTGAAGGTCAAGGAAGGGATTCAAACAATTCCCAAAGACACGGAGAAAATAGGTTTACACATTCCGCCGTGCCTGTAGCACGGACAACGATTCCGCTGCTAAAATAAAATCAATACAAGGGCAGTGGCATCGCCCAAGCGCAATGGGTGCGGAGCACTCGCAACAGCGCATCGAGGCTGACGGCCATGAGATCTTCGAGAGGCGCGACCCGGCACTGACCGTTGACCAAACATCCAATGCAGCTTGTGCCGTTCGCATGAGCGATGGCAGCGCCATGGCTCTAACGGCGGCCGCAGCGGCGGCCACAAACAAACGCCGAGGCGGCGCAGTCCAACATAGGCAGCAGCAGCAACTGCAAACGTTGCCGCACGGAGCTGGCAATGGACCAGCCAGCATTGTGATTGCCAGCAAGCAAATCATTTCGGATACCGCCTCGCCCACTAGTTCCGAGCTGAGCCGGCCGCCCTCGCCACCGCTGAGCGTGTGCTCGGATCTGCCTTATGTCTCCTATACGGATCGACCCATCGGCGATTCACCCAAAATCCGCAACAGGCCCGCCCATATGCTGCAACAGAGCAGCGCAAGTCGTGCCGCGGCACGAAAATCACATCCCGGTGGCATTACCACTGCCATCAAACCAAAGCGGCCGCAGTCGACGGCCTCCAGCCATAACATTGTGATCGTGAAGCCGGGCACACGTGATATTAACGATGACATTGATCCGGATTTGTTGCGTCTGCGCAACATACCGCAGTTTTTGCCGGTGCTGCGCGAGTCAATCAGTTCGGCGACATATACACGAGATACGGAAATTCTGGAGCGCCTGCATTCACAGCATTTGCTTAATATATGCGGCCGCATGCAGACGCATTTGAATCTGTGCGCCAGCCATGTGGCCAGCGAACAGAATCACCTGGTCGAGCGTACCAAGGTGGTTAGCAATTCGATAACGACGCTCTTCGCCAGCTTTGTCGATATGCAGAAGACGTACGCCTCGTATGCGGAACATTTTGCCAAAATTCGCAGCGTTTCGCAGCAGCTGAGCCGCTGTAACTCGCTGCTGCATGAGAATATTGCCAGCCTGGAGACCATCAATAATTTTCTGGACGATGAGGATCGCCTCGAGCCGTTCGTCTGGCGCACCGATGACAACAAGCTGCGTGGCGAAGCCGAGGGCGCCGCCGGCGGCAATAGCAATCGCCTGTGGCGCCTCTAGGTGTGCCGGTCAGCGCCAGTTGTGCATCCAAAGATAGTTTGTTATTAGTCTAACTCTTAACTCGTTTCATGTATTTATTGTGTACATTAACTTTATACATATATATTGTGTATCCAATTGCGCATGTTGAATTTGTTCTTAAGGTTAATTCGGAATTGTTGTTGTACCCTCAGCCGATCTCGTGCATTTGCGTAGTCCACTCCTAATAATAGTCTGTTCCATTCGGAACTGAAACCACTTTGTGTAAATATTACAAATATATAATAATAAATAAAATTTAGCAATGTGTAATACACTTACAGCATTTGCTGCTTTTATCAACTAAAATCCATTAAAATTTTATTAAAGGACCAGTGGGCCTTGTTCATTGCTCAACAATTTTAGCATTGACCCGTTGCCCGCCCCTGAGAAATGGGAAATAATTCATAAATGTATTTTACTTTATTTATTTGTATATATATTAACAGATTTTCACAAAGCTTTTGAAAATGAGTTTAAAGTCGATCGGTATGCATCAAAATTGTATACAACCGTATCCACCAATTTTTCACTGTTGCAGGTGAAATTTCCAAAATCAGTGTAGCACATATTCACGAAGTTTTTATGTTGGGCTTTTGCATTCTTATAAAGATTCTTGGATATGACTTTGAGCCCAGTTTTCATCACGGAGGGCTGAACAACCTCTCAAATGAGTTTTCACAAATATATGTTTGCAAATAATCAATCGGATGATTAATAAACTAATACATCAATTGTTTTTTCGCGAATTTTCCACACATGCGCGTGGAATTTCAGCAAGCTCTGTTTTATCATGCACATACATTAAATAGGTTAATTACAATACAAACTTTAGCTTTCCGCTCTAACCATCAATCAGGACAAACAGTTTTATATATAGACAAATATACATATATATATAAAAAACATATTTCTAAAATGTTTGCTAGCCCGTGTCTCATTCATATGTTATTGTTCAAGAACAACTGCACATTTCGGGGAAAATCAAATAATTGCAAACTACTTGTGAAATAATATTTGTATAGTTTCTCATTAGTTTACTTCGCCAATGTGCGAATCGAATGAATCTAATACCTAAGTTACAATTACTTGAGTAAATAAGATCGAATAGTTCCTTAGTTGCAGTTTTAGGCGTCAACTTTACAAAGAAAACGTGTCTGTTAACAACAATTAGGTAAAATTTATTACACATACATACAATTAGATAGTTCTTAGGAGTCTATATAGATCTAGTTAGTGCACATATAATATATAATTATACATACATGCATGCATATTGAATGCATATTTGGCTTGAACATTAATTATAATTTTGTAGCATTAATTAATACTCTAATATACACATATAAATACAACATATACATATTCGTTCATAATATTTGATGAATCGCCTCTAGGAGTCGGATAAATGGCTGGCAGAAACCGTTTCATATGATAATTCCAAATGTTTAAAATATTATGCAAATGCCAATAGTATTAATGGAGAGTGAGATGGACAGAAGAGAGAGAGAGAGTGAGAGAGAGATGGAGAACGCGAGAGTGTGAAATATGTTTTGAATTCATTGTCGCCATCTCTTTCGTGCACTTGCTCGTAATCGTGCCCGTCCACGTTCACGTCTGCGTCGACGTTTCTGGATAGCCACGAACAGTGTTTTATATAGGGTCCAGCAGCAGAGCAGCTGATTAAAAATCAAACAGAGCATAATAAACCCTTTGGAGCAGTGCATGGCCAAAGAGTAGACGTAGCTACCCTTTAGCCAGAAGAGAAAAGCATTGGCTAACTGTTAACGCTGCGCATAGCTGCTCCAATAAACGAGGAGCATGAGCAGTATGTTAGCGCAACTTATATTCTAGAAGAGCTTTTGCATATGGATGCGATCCTGAACGTTGCGTTCATGCTGCTGCTCCTCAATGGCCTTCAGCTCCCGGGCAACGGTTGACTTCAGTGTTCCATCCAAGCCGAGCGCATCGATAAAGTCGCGGCGTGCCTGTGCCGGATTCCATGCGCCCGCATGTGCCTTGGCACGCCGAAACAGCGCCTTCACATTGCGCGGATCCAGCGTAAGCACCTCGTTGCAGTGCTCAATGACGGCATAATAATCACCAGCAATCAGACGGCACTGGGCGTAGTTCAGTAGCAGTGGAGTCTTAATGCTAGCCAGCTGCTGCCACTCGTCATCGTGTGGCTTCTCCTTGAGCATCAGCTGCTCGATCATGCCAACCGCATCGCGATAACATATCTCCGCCTCGGCATACTCGTGCGCTTTATAGTGACGATTGCCGCGCTCCCGCAAGGTGTGTGTGGCGAGCATTTTCTCATCATCGGTCATTTGCCAGCGCTCCTTTTCATACTCTTCGGGCAGCTCAATGGATATTAATTCGATGATGAACTCCAAATCGACAGGTCTTTGCAGCAGCTCATCCAGATCCTCGTAGCCGATGCCCTCGTTCTGCAATGTCATGCCGCAGCAATGACGACGCTCCTCCGGCTTTTTGCCAATGTCGCGCAGCGTTTTCGAAATGAACGGATATTGGGCACAAAGCTGTATGGCAAATTAGGGAAATTATAGATATAGATATATGGGTGTATACATATAAAATGGGGTCATTGTGCCATCCAGGGCAGTCGCTGTGCGCTTACCGATTTGTGCACGGTAAACTTGGCTACCTCGTTGAGGGACATTTTCTGCACAATCACCTCCCACACTTCCAATTTGAATTTCTTGCCCAGCACCAGCTCCATCGGCTTGTTGATTTTCTTGCTATCGTCCACGATTCGCACATCGTTGGCCCGACGTGTTTGAAAATGGAATTTTACCTGCAAATCGAAATTGTGTCATAAACTTTCTCGGGCCAGGGTCGGCCTTGGCCCAGTTTAAGTCCTGGAATTAAGTTGAGTGCACAACTGTTGCCTCATATTATTTGCTTACCCTGGTGCCAGGCTTTAGTTCGATGTATTTGTTGCCAGGATTTAGAATTTCCTTGATAATGGGCTTTGCATTATTATCTGAATCCACTTGTTTCTCCATTTCGGTGTTATTTCTTTTCTTTTTTTCTAACTTTTCAAGCGAACTTGCAAATGCTGCTACCACTCGTTGATACTGTTCTTGCCCAACAAAGGACAACAAACTGCACTAAAAACAAAATGCAAATATTCTAGACCTGATTAGTGATGAGCAGGTGTTTGGCAAGCCAAAATGTGGCAACGCTAAGGTTTGCTAGCAAATCGATTGTTTAATTTACTATCGATATATGTATGTTTGTCATCTCTCGTAACTTGAATTATCCAAATTCATTCCAGTACATTCAGATAATTATTATTTGGCTTATTTGTAATATTT